AGCTATCTGTATAAAAGGCGGAATATCTGTCATTAGAAATATTTCAAACCCATATGTACAGGACAATGTTTCCTCTAAATGTGTTCCATTTTTCAAGATCATCGCGGGAGAAAAAAGAAATTTTAAATTTAAAATGAATTAAAATATTGTTCAAAAACCATTGTGTGAACGTGTGTTTTAATGTAAACTTATGAATTATTTATGCATACGTTTGCATATTTTTATGTATGTGTAAATGTTAATGTTTTACAAATCAATGAATGTTATTTTATGCGATATTAAAATATACAAAGGGAAATAATGATAATAATCTCTGCATAATTTAACATAATAATCAGAGTTGTCTTTCTTTGATAAGATATACTGACAAGTGTAGTTATGTTAGACTGAATACTATTTATGTTTTTAATCTGTAAAAGTTATATATATATACTCGAATTCATAGAGAGAAATCAAAGTAATGATAGTTTGTAGTATCAAGAAAATATGGCACAAACTCAATTATGGCTTCAAGATTCTAAGAGATGACACCTGCCCTGTGCCAACCTGCGAAGTTTTCTTCTATAGATATCCAAAGTTCAACAACGAACTGTACAGAATCAATGCGGTCGCATAACCTACATGAAGTACGACGCGAAACGCCATACTTTCATTTTCTGGTCATCTTCAACATTTCGACGAATATAGGTTTTTTTTTTTAAATTAATACTACAATCCTGTGGCAGAATTAAAACATATGGCGGCAAATTCAATAGGAGAAAATGAGAGGAAAGAGAACTTGAATACGGATAGAGAAGATGATTAAAGAAGAAAGAGAACTGAAATAAAAAGGAGGAAAGAGAAATGGAATAAAAAGAAGAACGTGAGGAAAGAGAACTGCAATAAAAAGAGACGAACGGGAAGAAGAAAGAGAAGACCTTGAGAGAGATAGAAAGAACATGAATGAGAGCATATCGAGGAAAGGTAACAGCTAGATAGAGAAGAAAGGAGGAAAATCAGCCTGTGTAATGAAATCTCAGACTTATATTTCGACAGGGCAGTTGTGTTGGACTGCATTACTTTTACACTTCCTATATAACGTATACCAAAGGCCATCATATTCCTTTCCTTATTTTCTGTGTGTGTTTTTTTTTAAAGTTTACCCTGTACTGGGTCAGACTGATAATCTAATGCTGAAAGAAATGGACCAATTGGGACATAGGCGCATCACCTGATCACTGACTCTGATTCCCATGTTTAATGGCAGATATTTTCAGTTTATTATACACGAACAATACTTGAGAAGTGTTTGAATGCAAAAAAAAAACCTAACAAAATGCATCATTTTACAACTTTATTTTCTCAAATTTCACATAACATCAACAACAGGGTGTTTAAATACATGTGTTATCAACCAGTATTACTTACATTGTACGCCTCCTAACCGGAAATCCAGGAAAACGTGGTAACTTAGCTTATTGTTCAATAATTGTTTGTTTTTATGTTTGTCGTTCAGTAACAACAACGCTTCTGGCTACTAATTGCATTGTACATTGTAATTAGTTGTATTCATTTCATGTAAATACCGTAAACATATGAAATAGTATCTGATTAAATGGAACGCTATTTATACATCGTAAATTAATACATTTAATAAGATCTGGTGAAATAATTTATATATAGTTTTATCTGTAATATATACATTTTGTAATCTAATTAAAACTAAACATGCAGGAAGTTGTCCTTTTTGCGACTCTTCACGTCAAGATGCATGTACCAAATTAATATAAATTGTTTGATTATTTATTACAAATCTCAACCGTGCATTTATCAAAATATGTACGGTAAAACATATAGACAATATATTTTAGTGCACTGATGAGCTTCGGAATGTATAATATATAATTCCTCGTAACAGTTCAACACCAACGCAGAATGCATTATTGGTAATTGCCGTGTAATTCGTCAGCAAAAATATAAGGTTTATGGCAACCTGTCAGGTATAGTCAACAGGAAAAAGAAGCTGATTGTTTTCTTTCTGTCATTTTTTGATCACCTGCTATTTGCATCGGCCCAAACAAGATTTAACATTTAACCCTGTCGACAGTCGACACACCTCGGGACTAATTCGTAATTATCTGAATTTTGACGGAAAGGGCCGAGAAGATGCAATTGAAAGGGCAGGGAAGATGCGATTGTCAACCATGAACAAAAGCGTACCGAAAATATCAAAAATTTTCCTTTATTGTTTTTAATTGTCATTAATGATGTTCGTAGCTTTCATAATATAACAGGTAACTAAATGAATTGTTAATTGCTGTATATCTACAGCAAGATTACACCGTTATATGAGCAGGTAGCTTTAAGTGGCTTATATCATAGCACCCATTTTATTACAGCTTAGACCCATTTTATTACAGATCATATTGATACAAAATATTTCATTCAGTAAAGCGAACTCTCCCAGGTGATTCTCGAGCTACACTGCTGTGATTTTTTCCTTATAAAAATAATTTCAAACAGGTAATTGGGTGAGCTTTTTCCGAATTTAAAGACCTGCTTTAACAAACACTAATCTTAGTACGGACGGGTATATATGGATGTTTTTTATTGGGTTTTACGTCACATCGACACAGTATAGGTCATATCGCGACGTTACAGCTTGACTGGTGGAGGAAGACCTCAGGTGCCCCTCCGTGCATTATTAGGCACGAACGGGCACATATATGGATGTAACAAATAAACAGCAAGACTAACTAAATTATTTATTATTTGGTTTTAATTTGTAAAAATCGTATGTACATTATAATGCCTATTGTAGAAAGTTAACAGTCGAAAGTTTCTCAATGATACATGTTTACAGATGGTAATAAATAACAACACCCTGTGTGTGAAATACATGTACCATGCATATCAAATTGCCAACATATTGGCCTGTCTAGATACATAAAACACTATACACTTTGTTTTACTTAAGATAATAGTTTGACTAACTTAACTTTATCTGTCAAGTGGATGAATCATGTTATATATAAACCGCCCCATAAAATGAGAAGAAAATAAACTGTATTTTAATTAAATCGATGTTTGCAGAGCTCTATATGATATTGTATTTCACTCTTGGCCAAGTGCCAAAAGGCATACATAATATTCGTATTTAGTGAAATGAGAAAATATGCTACTTAAGAAAAAGTATATACAACATTGGTTCATTCAAAATATTAATATATACAAAAGATAACAAAAAATGGTACATGCTTATTGAATATGTATAACTGATTTAGATCTACCCTTATTTGATTGGAAGAATTTTTGAAATAAAAATATATAATATGAGCTTCAAACAGTATAAAGCCTGATCACTGCACATATATGCAGGCTGGCCTAAAATGACTGATAACTATCAAACCCAGGAAGTTTTAAACACGGCTACAAAGTGGGCAATCGGATTTCCTCGGCTATTATTCATAACAACCGAAGACTGGCAGAAAGGGCCGAAAAGTGTCGACTGACAAAGTGAGCTCTCAATATGTAGGTCATTGGGTCAAATCAATTGATTACAAATACAGTTCGTTTTCATTTTATAATTGTTTTGTATAAAACAAAAATTAAATCTTCTAAGAGTTAAAAATTGTCCTTTGAATACATTCTGTTTTGTCCAGATATGGCCCCATTTAAAGCAGCTGTAAACTTATGCTAACAAGGATATAAATAACATGTGAAAATAACGTCTTGAAAACTACTATGTAATTTATAATACTGCAAATTGATTTCTTTCATTAAAAAATCTGTACTGTAGTGTTTAAATATATATTTTTTAAAACATAGCGATAATCCATTACAAACACACACTTTTATAACATTTCTGGAATGCATTTTATTTAGTTTGTTCACGTTTTAACTAAAAATAGTTCACTTTTGAACTTTAATAGTTCACGTTTTAACTATAGTAGTTCATGTTTTAACTATAAAAGTTTACGTTTTAACTATAAAAGTTCACGTTTAAACTATATATAGTTCACGTTTTAACTATAATTGTTCACGTTTTAACTGTGATAGTTCACGTTTTAACTATAATAGATAATTACACATGTTACATAGAGATTCTCTGGTCGCATAATATCATTTAAAATGAATCAAAATCTGTATTTAAATCAGCAAATAGTAAAATAATTAAATGAAATAATACACACTTTTCACAGTTAAAATACAAGATATTTATCACAAAAATAAAATAATAAAAAGCACCATCAAGTAATATATTCATGAAATCATATTTTACACTGTTGTCAAACTTATTTTATGTAAAACACTGCTATAAAAACATGTATAATTTTATGTAAATTTCTATACATTGGTAAAACATTTTGGCAGAATTATCTGTTAAACAAATTTTGGTTTTTACATGGGATGATATTATGTATAAATGTATAATTATTAATGATATATAATATAAAGCTTTAGTACTTAGCACATTTAAACAAAATGTACCTAATAACCTGTGATAAGCTGCATAGGTTTATATATTACATTAGTATATAAAATAGGATTGTATATAATTATATCTGTATCTATATATTCGATATATCTGCGCTTGTTTACAGGTAAAGCAATGAAAAGCCTAGAAAATACGCCTAGAAATACGTTTTTCAGTAAAATAGAGAAATATTTCAGTAACTAACTGTTTTGCATAGACAGGCGTTAGTTGTTATGTTTAGAGTTAAACTACAGTATTGTTTATATTAAGTGCAACGTTGTAACCATTTTAGTTTATTAATAAAGAACACTATCACAATGTATAAAAAAAACCTGCAAATGTATGTTTTTATATTCAGTAAAGCACCTTAAATACAAGTTTAAAATATCTTTTGCAAGGACAATCAATATAAGTGCTAGTTGACCATTTAACAAATGTATGGGACATTCAATTAAAGATCCAAATGATTTATTTCATTTGGAAACTGTCGTCTGGTTGTCGTTAAATATATGGAATAAAAACAGCACCAGTTTTCTCTTCACACCTATATCACAGCTACTTCCTGTACGGAAGCGTATCCTTGGTGAGACCGGAAGCGCATATTCGGAACCCTTTTCTTCCATTTTTTGCAGACGAGTCTTATTTTATTCCGGTGTACTATCAGGAATGCAATTAATGTTAATCCAACAACTGCGAAAATTATTCCAGTTACTGCCTTCACCGCGGTATTGGACGGAGCTTCGAGTTGTTCACACCTCAGATCTGATAATGACAAGCTCAGCACAGGTTTACCCTTGTATGATGAATGGTACCCACCTGCACATAATAATTCCTTTTTATTGACATTTATTTTTGTTGAATTCAACCACTTCCAAGTTTCCACAAGGCCACAGTCACACTGGAATGGGTTATTGTCTAGTTTAATTACTTTAATGTCGCGTAAGTCCTCGGCCTTGTCCATGAATTCCCTCGGCAGAACTGCCATTTTGTTGTAAGAGAAATCTATATGCGTAAGGTTCTCCAAGCAGTCTTTTTGGTTCGGTAATGAAGGTTGGTCTAGATTATTATGAGTTAGATTTAATTTTTTCAATGAAGTTAACTGACAAAACGAGTTAGCAGCCGAAAGTGAAAATGAGAAAAATTCATTGTAACCAAGTTCCAGGATCTCTAACTTCGTCATGTCAGTCTCATTGAAAACTCTAGCGAGTTTGGTTATGTGAATACTTCCGTTCCAAACTTCATCAAAAGTGTTGGTTAAGTCCAGGTGTTTCAAATTCGACACTGAACTGAAGTACCCAGTCTTATCCGGGCTTCTGTCGACCTGCCATGCATTGTCCCGTAGAATGAGAATTTCCAAGTTTGGTAAACAATGCAAACTTTTTCCATGTATGTTGGATATGCTATTATTAGACAAATCCAAGTATTTTAATTGGTGTAAGACAAGACCTGATTCATGTTTGCAGGAGCCAACACTGTTAGCTGGCAATTCTGGGATATAAGATCCTGTTACTGTCATATTAACCACGTTGTCTTGAATGTAATGCAACAGTTTTGTGATATCACCGTTTAACTTCTGTTCGTGGTGACACTCAACCACTTCATCCGTACAAATACAATTATCAAAATGACCTTTACAATAATCCTTAGATGTTGATATATGTACACAAAACAGAATCAAAATCAAGAATTTGACACACATTTTACTGTTTACACACCACAATATGTTACAAAATCCAAGTTTAAGTCGCACCTGTGTAGCGATCGCCATTTTCATTTACCTGTATAAACTTTGTTTGTCTCGTCTACGTACTTAGTGTTATGCCTGAGTGAACAGTTCAGGCTATACACAGCGATTTTAAACCGCACTTGTTTACATCGACAATACCACACTGGCGAAGGTAATTTATGACTAATTTTCAAAACCGCTTGCTTTAGGGCCCGTCTACACCTATCCAAGTCTTGAATGAAAGTATCATATTCTCTTGTATTGGACAGTGTAGACACTCAACTTGAATGAGTTTTAAAGAGAAATTATGTGACATCCAAGAAGATAATTCCTTGCAAGAAAGTAACACGTCCTATTTTTCTACAAGTTTTTGGCTGTCAAGACACTGATAACACCGGTTTGACACAAAACATGTGCCCCGAAGGTGTGATAGTGTTGTTTTTTTCATTATTTTCTGACTTTTTTGTTACTGATTCTGTGTTCATGACCTGTAAATTTTAGTAAATGTATAAAATATCTTGGTCAGAGGGACAGATCAATACATTGATACACAGAAGAGCAAAAAAAATAAAAAAAAAATAAAGAAGAAATCAGTTTTCAAGTAGTCAAAATGGATTTTAAATGATCTTGTTCATTTAGTCAATAACTTTCATCAAATAAAGAATTTGCATCACTTTATCAGCTCAAAAATATTTTTCTCACATTTTCCATTATTTTAAAAGGATGTACACATTTCAATATATACTCCATTGTTTTTAGCTAATTGCATCATTTTCCCGCTTTTTTATTCACATATTTTACAGACACATGATAGTATTGCAAAGACAAAGGTATAAATCCTGGGCAATCTTAATTAGACATTTCAGTAAAAATTGTGCCTGATAAAATATTGAAAGGGACATTTATTTAGCTTATCTAAATGTGACATGTAAGAAACTTGAATAGGTGTAGACACGGCCTTATATTGTCAAGTCTGTTTACATTTACGCAGATAAATTCAATTGATCTTTCTCAGATTAAAATATTTATTAACAGCAAGTCGAACAGTGTAAAAGTGCACTAGAAGCAGACGGAGTGACTGATAAAATGTGAAATGTCAGTCACAATAAAATAAGACAGCTTATTTTTCCCAAGCCCTTTAATTTTCAATATGTTCAGACACGATATTTTAAAATAATAGTTCTATAATACGCACAACACGAGGTACATCCCACGCTGATTAACCGGAAAATCCCGGTATTTTACGAATCGGAATTGAGCGTCTGTCAGTACAGGCATTCTGTTCATTTTTCATGTAAATGGTTATCATAAACAAATCTATCATTGTCCACCGCGACCAAAATTACTAAGCAAAAACAGATATAAAATATACGGAACCGGATATAAATATAAAAAATATGAAAAAATGACTTCACATGTGCACAATTAAATATTTAATACTTGTGAAAACACGAAAAAGATTTCGCCTAGATACGGCTCTTCATTGTATATACAGTTATTTCTATAGTAAAATGGTGCTAGATAGAGCCATATATAGACCTTGGTATTTCGATTATACTATTATAATAATATTAAATAATCAATTGCGTGTGAAGTAATTTTTGTCTCATATTTTTCATAATTATACTTCATACAGTATGTATACACACATATTGTAAACGGGTGCTGGATAGTTGATTCGGTCTTGGTGGTGAAAGGGAATTATTTTATGATAATTTATCCATTATTGACAATAACTGTGTCACATGACTTTAATAATTATTCGCCATAAAATCGCCATGGCCTGGGCGACAACGAGGGGGTTTCTTTACAGATAATGATCGAGGTCGTAAGGATATACCAAAAATAATACTAAATATAGAATACAATCACGTGATATTTTGTTTAGCCACATATAGTTTATCTTCTTCAAATTAGTGTAGCCCACCTTCAAGCTAACATGATGGTGCTTCCTGCAGCACAAAAAAATATATATCCATTAAAGCCGTAGTATGCTCGAAGACCATGCACTGAAATTTGAAGCGGAGAAGATTTTTCATTTGAAACTGTGGTTAGATTGAGGAACAAATATTAAGTAATTAAATAACCAGTTACAAGTACTGCCAAACAAACTGGTACCAGACACCAACTATGTTCGTACTGGTATATATATACCTTACAGCCTAACAGAAAAGCCCGAAGTCTAATTCCTTAGCTATATTTTGTTTCTGATTGAGGTTAAATTACTTTGTCCAGATGATAAACATCTAAAGCTAACATGTTTTAAAATATTTTATGCATACGCTATAAAACTCATGCTTGTCATTTCTAAAGAAGGGAAAGTATATAAGTTTCTGAATCATTATGTGGCCGATGATGTTCCAGTAATTTAGTAAAATTGAGCTTCATCTCGTCAATTATGGAAATTATCGTGTTATTCTCCCACTTATATATAAATTATCTTGTCAAATTTTCTAGCGCATTTCCTCTGGTCTGATATAAAAAATGTTTTCAACAATCAAAATACAGATGTATACTATGTATTTTTGTATTCTATGCTTAATGTACTTATATCATATCTATTTATCCTTAAATAATAAATCAGCATATCCGATACAGGAAATATATGGCTATAACTTTTGAAAACAATACCATTAAAGAACTAAATTAAGCACAAAAATAAAACATTAGCCCTCGGACTTTTTGTGCAGATTTTTATTTGTGTAATCACTATAGAATTATGAATAATCCAAATAACAACTTGGGTATATTCTGGTGCAAAGCACTTCTTGAAAAAACTTCGACCCAGAAATAAAGTCCTGAAAAGATACACAAAACAACCTTTACAGTACTCAGAAATGACTCTATGTACACAATTACATAAAATATACTTGAAATATAAACAGTCTTACAAGAGTTGACTTTAAATGAGCCACTTCAAAATTAAAAAGAACTACTTTTTAGACTACAACGGGCTGGGTCTAATTCCGTACCGGGGTGACACCATCTGTTGATACGTATGCCATTCTATATGAGACAATCTTTTCCCTAAACGTCTTTAGTCTTCTATTAAATATTTCTAAATATTCAGGAAAAACTTTCGTCAGTTCTTGTTCCCGCGTAATCGATCATGAAAATCTCATGAACTCAACTCGTAACAATCGGATCACAACTTTTCGACCATTTCCTTCATTCTTCGTATATTGTAATGCATGATCGCCGAGTTGTTACTATAAGATCTCATGAACTTCCAACTGGTAATATATGATAACAAGTAACGAATCTATGCTTATCAAAACTCGGTTCTATAGTACAGCTGTACTTGTATCATGGAGCCAATTATATACCTGCCGGAATCAAAATTAAAAAAAAAATATGTTGTATAACATAAATGATCAAAATTGAGCTAGTTTAGTACGATTTCAATACCGGACGAACATGGCGACTTTGACGCTAGCCTTAATCTGAACACAGAAGCTACCACGGTAATCGTCAATGAACTCCTTTGAGAAAGATTGCAGTACCTTATAAAACATTAGATATGATGTATCAATTATACAGATTTTATTTGATATATCAATAGGAACACAGTGACGAAAAAAGTAAACATGTTTGAGGAATAAACGTTTAACGTTACTTTTTTAATAATTATGTGAATTTTAGGTCACATCGACTCTGTAAAGATCATATGGCGACCTTCCAGCTTTCCCGGCGGAGTAAGACCTCAGGTGCCCCTTCGTGCATTATTTCAGGCCCGGCACCAGCGGGTTCCTGAGTAGAACTACCGACTTTCATTAAGCTAGCTGGATATTTTCCCACATAAAAGAATCAAAATCCCGACAGGATCCGAACTCACTGTGGTGAGAGGAAAGTGATTTTAGTCTACGATCTCAACCACTCGGCTATGTAGTGACCTTAAAAACACGGCCATGGAAGCTCTATAATCATGTAATAGGCTTGACAGACGTTCAATGGTGATATCATAACATATCGTTATAATTGTGAATTTATACAATGTACAATATACATATAGATTTATGATACAAAACATAATACATATACATGATTTACTGCAAACATGTCACGGTGACGGATAAAATCCCAATGAGGTACAACAAGAAATTCTAACATAGATCAACTGCGACATTTGCACAGAAGTTGTTGATCCAGAATTAGATCAATGGTTACCAAATCTCGAAAAAATATTTCCAATTCTGTTATGTCAAAAAGCTCATTGGAGTAGGTAAATATTTGTGCGGGCAAAATAGTTTTAATGCAGATACATTATTTCATTTGCTTATAACAAGGCGAAGCAATAACATAAACCTTTTATATCGAAATATACACGTTAAAAGAAATAAGTCACCAGAAATAGATTTTCCTTTCACAATGACGTGCAGTAAAATGTGTATTCGTAGGCAACTCTACACCAACTTGCTCCTAAGGATCTTAGTTAAGAAACTCGTAACAATCCAACAAATAGCAAGTTCTTGTTGAACATACGACTATATTATTAGTTTATACATTATGCACCACATAAAATCAACGCATTTTTCTAAGAAGTTTTAGCATATTCTGATATATTTATGGCTGTGACTGGTATTGCTGTGGTAATGATATTTAAATTTCTATATCTTAACTGCTGTCAGATACAGGTTCATAGACTTGAACTGAAGAGAAAAGATTTACTCTTTCTGGGGGAAAGCTAATCTGCTAAGAAACTGTTGAAGTAAATCCGTTTGTTGCTGCACACATTGCTGAATCTCATTTTTTAACTCAGCCTTGACCAGAGTCAATTTATTATCCATGTTTTCACTCATTTCAGCCTTAATTTGCGATACTTGTTTAGCAACTTCTTGTGAAATGTTATCATTTGCAACTTTGAGTCTATCGTCAACAAGCGAAAGTAGTACTGACGTAGAAGCGTCTTCACTAACTGACGTATTCATTGATATGGCAGAGTCGGTCCTTGAATTTGAGAAAGGTCTGGATGGCTTTGGGGTAGAAGACCTAAATAAGACATTTGGATAAAGAGACATTGCTGAAGCGGGCGAAAGCAGATCACTGTCTTTCCCAAAAGTTTTTAATGTCCCTTCGATTGGAAGTTCTAATGCCTTCAATATATCTTTTACTGGGGTAACAATAAATCTTCCGTCATCCAGTCCGCCTTCAAGCATACCTACGAGGCTTAACTCATCATTTTCTTCAATGAATACAAAAGCTCCAGAATCACCATTAGCAGCAAATACGTCTTCACCAGCAGAGAGTACTTCTATCTGGTTATGAAGTAAGAAACCAGCACCTCCATGTTCTCCAACTGGATTGGAAGTTCGCACTGCTCCACCCTTCAACCGAAAAACACCACGTGTAATTTCTGTGCACCATCCATATTTGATCACTACTGATCCTTTATTCAGCTCCTCCAGTTCACATATTTTTCCATTGCAAAAGGTCATTGGGTTTTCTTCTGAAAATCCTGAAAGACATGAATTTACTAAGATGAAAAACTTGCAAGAGTGGAAAATACCCTTCCAAGCATATAATGTAATTAATTAAAAATATTTAAAAAATTGAAAGCAATAAAATATGTATTTCACTACATAATGACACCTAAATAACAAGAGAGGCCAATGAAAATAGTACCAATATTTAATGTTTACCTGTCCTGTCTGAAAACCTTTGTCTGTATCGGGGAATCGTCCGTCCACTGGAAATCTAGAGTCAAGTTTGATCAGTGCAACTTCCACACCAGAATCCCCATTTCCACCAGTGTTATACACTAAACTAACTAAGTGACCAAACGAACGTGACCCGGGACAAATTGGTTGAAAAACAGGAACATTTGATTCTTGATCCGTCAAATGTTTTTTTCCATTACTCGGAAGTTTGTCTAGATCGCGACAAAGAACATGCCCACATGTTATGCAACATAAACCATGTTTCGGATGTTCAAGAAATCCGCCAAGTGTGCCAGCAAGTCCATGTTCATTTTCAGTACTGCCCCTTATAGCACATCCCATCCGTAAGTTCTCAAGGTGTTCATCTGGTCGCCCGCCAAGAAATTGTTTAAACACAGCTTCGCGCACATCCACAGGATAGTCTCCTACATGTTCAGGAAAAGGTTTCTCTTGTAATGGTATATAACCTTTTACATGAACATACAGTGTAACACATTGTCTGTCTAGAATTTTCTTGTCAGACTTGTAACCTTTAGATATTTTTGAACTAGCTGACACCATCGTTAATTTACTGTGGTTACGCATCAAGGTAGCTGAATTTTGATTGACACAGTTTGTCAGTTTAGGTAAATCTTCGAAATCTATTTCTGACTCATATTCAAGCTTGTTTATGTATTTACTTTCGGTACTGCATATGGAGGCCTCTCTTTCATATGTTCTGAACACATCTCCGATACCTAAGTCGCGTTGATTAGCTTTTATTACAACAAAAGTGATATTGTCCAAAGCAGTTGTCGTATCTTTATCGTAAAAATATGCTGGCCATATGTCTATATAATTTTCAGATGCTTTTCCCCGTAAATATTTGCAGACTGATATGCATATATCAGATACAATCAGGGAACATCTTCCGAAAATCGAACTTGCCTTATCCAGCAAATCTTGATCTGGAAGCTTTCTTTCTTTTAGCAGTGTACCGATTTGATTATGGTCTTGGAGTTCGAGGCATGACAACCAGGCTGTGTGATCTAAAACAGATAAAGAACTTGATAGTTATTTTTACCATCTTCCAATGGAAATTATTAAGAGTCCATTTTTAAAAGTTATTATCCAATGTACAATGAATAACAAGACATTTATTATCGTAACTCGATTTTAAAAAAGGCACCGTCCCCAAGTGATAAAAGGCACCGACTTGCTAGGGAGCGTGGAAGGAAACTTGCCTTTTTTCAACTTTTTTTTGAACAGGCTCGATCAAACCGAGCAGTCTGCATCATTTTCAATTTTGTCGTTTTAGGAGTTCTTTAAGGATTTCGTTTTTCTCTATTTTTAAATCAATTGCCCCTCACCACTGCTTGCACGACAGCTATCAATGTAGCTTTAAGGAGGTCGGCGGTTCTAATCATGTGCCCACATGAAGACGCACTTGAGGTCTTCCTCCACAAGTTAAGATAGAAATGTACCTTGTGACCTTTACAGTGTAACATAAAATACAAGAAAACAAACAAACAAAACAATCATCAACATCTTATTTATCATAAGACGATGTTTTGGTATACGCCCAACAGTTTATTTTAATGCCACTATTATAGGGAGAGGCACTTAGATTTACCCTTGTCCGTTCGTCCGTTCTCATGTTGTGTTGCACGTAGCTTAAATAGTATTTGATCTTTAGTAATAACACTTCACATGAATATTGGTCGGCATGTGTAGTTGTGCACCTGGGCGTTTGCGTGTGTATTTATTCAACATTTTAGAGTTATTGCTCTTGACATTGTAAAAATTTGCAATTTTCAACTTGTGTGTCAAACGTTACTCTAAAATATTTGTCCTAGGGTCATGGAACTTTACAGGATTGTTGCATAGGATGTGAAATTGTGTGCACTTCTTGGGATTTTGCATGTGGATTTATTCTGTTTTGTCAGACTTATGGCCCTTGACTTAGTAAAAATTTGCATTTTTCTGTTTGTGTCGTATGTATTGACCTAGAGTCATAAAATTTAACTGGAATGATGGTCAGCATATGTTGTTGTGCACCTGGGGGTTTGCTCGTGGATTTTTTTCAGTTTTTGTAGGGTTATTGCCCTGACTTAGTAAAAAGCATTCCCAAATGTTGTGTTATGTGTGTCTTAAAATCAACCAACTTTAAAGGAATAATGAGATCAATATCATTGTGACGCTGTGTACCAGGGTGTTTTTCGTGGGGATTTTTTTTCTGTTTTGTTAGAGTAATTTTCAATATTCAACTTGTTCATGCATAGCTCAAAAAGTATTTGATCTATATTCCTGAACGTTTATAAGAATGTTGGTCAGCATGTTTAGTTATGCACGTTGAGGTTTGCTTGTGGTTTTATTTAGTATTTGTAGAGTTTCTGCCCTTGGCGTAGTAAAATACTTTCAGTTTTTTTTCTTGTGTCGCATGTAGCCCAAAATATATTTGACATAGAGTCAGTAGATTGACAAAACAGGGGAGTGTTGGGGCACCCGTATCTTTAGACACATTTCTAGTATTGTAATCCATTTATCATATGTGAATGGATGTTGTAGATTTCATAACTAATGCACAGACTATGTACAATGTCTCTTTCTAGACATTTATACCTGTATGGTATTTAAGCATTAAGTACCAGTTTAATATGTTTCATTTGTACAAGTTTTTCTGCATAGATTTCACTGTTTTTGTGAACGTATTATATACGTTTACGTTAATCTTACTCTATGACCCTTTTCGCCATTATTATGTGTCTAATATGATCAATTATGTACCTATTTTCCAATCATCCTTCTGCGACATTTCCATCGATGTTTCAGATGTGAAGTTTTCTATGTATTCCCCCAACGTCGGTTTAAATATGTCCTTATTTCGAGTTCCAGTTTCTCTCTGAAGATTGGTTTCATCAAACATACACGTTGTTTCTTTCTCATTCGAATCGTCTGTTATATTTGTGTTATCGGAACATTCAGACTCCGAATTACTTTCTTCACTTTTGTCATCAATATTGTCACCAGCCTCTGTGAATTCTGTTAAATTATGTGACGTCGGTCTTTCAAATATAGACTTCTCATCTGAAAATGAACAACTTTGCAAGATAGCATGATTTGGCTGCGTTGATTGTTATCATTCCTTTCTTATACATGTTCTTATATAATAAATCGTGTCTTTTTAAAACTATTTTCAGTTCCCTTTTAAATTCCCATATATTGAAACAAATTGACTGTTAACATCTCATCAAAACAGGTTTTTTTATATAATTATTATAGTATTATGAACATTTTGTAGGATAAAATGATATTAAAATCTTTTTATCCTAGCATAGCTTTCTTTCATTATTGTGATGAAGGAAACTATAATTATGCTTGACAGTACCAGTTAGGAAAGAAAGAAATCCAGAGGATTTCAGATGTATTACAGTATTACACTATCATTGTATAATACAGTGTATATATATATATGTACGTAATTGTCAAAGATAACAAAGGCGCATTTACAAACAATAGAAGATTTCATTGTGTAACACAGTTTATCTTCACTTTAAACCATTTGGTTATAAATGCACAAACTGTCTTTACCACTTTACTTGACTGATATAGTTGTTTATTTATATCATGTACATATCTTATTCAAACAGGTAATCAATTTTGGGCAATACCTAAAATATCCCAGGATAAACATTTAACAGTGGATGTTGTCTCGATAATAAAACATGCATTCTGAAGGTAATTCATAATTTCAATTACTGAATTCCATAGATTGTTTTGGGGTATCATTTTCATGTGTATATAAATAATTTATTTGTTTTTAAAATACATCATTAAGGCACTTACTACTGTATTTCCTTGAACAAACAGTACTTGTATCCGTCTACAAAAAATATAATTTTTATGAGATTGTTTTAAATGTAATAAAATACGTCTTCAATGAATGCTATTCTAAACTAGATTTGTATGGTGATGTTTTTTTAGTTCAATTATTACAAATGTAGCATTTCAAAATCACGATATAATCTTTAAATTATGTACAGTGTTAAGCATGAATTGATTTGGAGACATTTTTTTGTTTCGGTTCAATTATGATTCTCATACAGGTAGTCGTCTATTCCTTTCCTATATTCCTATAATATAAGAAAATAACAAGAACTGTCATTATTACCTGAGTGTCATGGTCAGCTGTATCACTGTCACATTGTACTTTGATCCTTGGACACTGCTCCACCCTTTCAATTGCATCACGAACTTTACCCAGGCATTTGTTTAACTCAGCTATGTCAGAATGCAATCTGTTTTCAACGTATTCAAACCGTTCTTGTAGTCTACATTCTTTATCAAAAGCAAAAAAAGAATGGAGCATGTCCTCGATATCTTTGACACAGTTGATCATATATCCCATCTTTTGTACATCAGAACCATGGTAAGCCTCGACCGCATGAGCAATATGTTTGTGGTTTACCATTCCAAAACCCTGAAAAGATTTTTTTTGAATTGTGCAAGTTGTAAAGGATACATATTTAACTGACGATATTTGATTACTAGTTTTTCTTTGCAAATAAATACACACTCCAAATTTAAACAATACCATATAGGTAATTCTGATTAGAGATTCATCCCGACTTGTAAACGATGGTACATGTAAGAAATTGAAATAAATTTCATTAACATTCTTAGATCTATATTATCAATTTCTAATCCGTTATCATCAAACCTGTTCGGGAATTGTTTGGCAAGTAACCGGGGTGATCTGTCCATGACCATCATAACCTTCCTCTCTGATTTCAATATGAAACTTTCGCTGTGATTGAGAATGCATGTCATGTGCATCAATATGCAAGGGGTCATCATTTCCTAAAAAATCATTAAATATTCCATGAAAATGTATAGATAAACACTAACACAAATAACAAAAGAAAACAACACACAAAAACGGCGTTTTATTATTGTAGTAATATTATGTGTAATTGTAATTTTGGAGCTTGCAACATTTTGCTCTATTGAGCGACTTAAAATGTTTCCATTTTGGATAAAATAGCTTTAAATTACACAAAACCTTTTGTAACACGAGTAAAATGCATATAAAGCAAAATGAATCTTGTTTATGAGCTCTTTGTTCTTGGGTTATATTGAAGGATTAATACCACTTTCCAAGAGCAGTACACAAGGAAGGCTTATATCGGAAAAATATTGAACACCCTGTTCCCTATGCACTCTGTAATTATTGTTGGTGATATCATTTCCAGACTCGTCATCAGAAATACTGTCGTCTTCATATTCATCCATCTTTACACCTGACTGGAGAATATATAAATTGTTTGGTTATTACATATTGCTGAACTTTATAAGGAATATTTTTATGAAGTTTAAATTAAAATTGAGCATAGTTCCAACAGTTTAGCTGAGCTGTCTGTAGAATCCGTATTTCATTGAATAATCATGGGAGATGTGGCGTAAAAAATAGTTAGAACCAACAAAGATAAGAGTTTAAATCTAATAAATATACAGGATTTATGCACCTTCTTTAGCGTTATTAACAAAACGAAACAAAAGCATTAGGACACATTTAAAACCCAAGCCCTCGGGGCGAGGGATATAATAAAGTCCGGAGGCATTGCATCTGCAAGAGTATATGCATTAAAAACGGTGCATTGGCGCTATTTTTGTATACAGTATACGTTTGACCCGGTAATTTTGCATTTCGTTATTCGTCTTTCGTTTAGTATTGAATTTGAGACACAAGCGTGATGCCACTTGATCATCACCCTAGTCTGTGTCTCTTTCAATAGCAGTGACATGATCAAATGAAAATAAATTACAAATACTTAAATAATAATCAACACCTGCATATTTTAAAATACAATTTGTAATGCTTAAATAATGTGTGGGATATAGCCTGTAATTAGTTTTGAAAATAAATGTTAACACAGAAGCGGCAATATTGAAACTTGTTTGTACTTATGTTTTTATTCATCATCTTTTGACATGCATATCGCTGGTAATATGCGATTAAATGCCACCAACTGATTGAACAGAAACAACTTTTATCTCTTAAATTATTTATTAACGTTGAATCAAATCAGACGAGTACAAACCCTCAATATCTCCGTGAAGGTGATAATCGTGATGGTGCTGATGATGATGATGACGTTGGTGTTGTTGATGATGGGTATGATGGTGTTGGTGGCGATATTGGAGATGGGGATGATGATGGTGGTGGCGGGGATGATGGAGATGGTGGCGGTTATGGTAATGATGAAGATGTTAGTAAAGATGATAATGATGACGGTGGTGACGATCCTAGTGATGGTGGATTTTTTTTCTTATGTTGATTTTGATGATGATCAGGTCAAAACTTTATTTTCAGTTTAGAAAAACATGAGAAAGTTAGGTATAACCGTAAGCAAGCAATTTTGGAAAGGGATACAGATTGTGCAATGCACTACACTTAAAATCACTGCCTCCGATCCCTGCCCCCTCCCCTTTACACGATCCTGGAGGGGTTACGGACATAGCAAGGATAAGAAGTCGAATTTGGATATTTGACAATGGTATAGGACCAGTTGGATTGGGGATGAGTGTGATCACCTGGCCTTCCATCAACGTTTTTGTCCGTTGACACTGATATCCTGATGAAAATTTCAAAATAACTAATAATATTGTATGCTTTTTATTGATTTTGTTTATGCGACGAAACCACATAACATTAACCGGTCTAGTTTAATTAATAATTGGAAATCACAGTAAACATGAATTCGACCACGTTTTTGCAGCAGCGCTGTTACTCGGCTGTGATATGAAGGAACTAAATCGTGTCTACAAAAATAGCTGATTTAGCAGTGTGTAACCTAACCGTTCTTCCACGCAATCAAAACTTATTATTTCTAGTGTTTATTGGCCTCTACATTAATTTGAATAAAGACTATAAAAATTCATTTGATTTCTGGTTGACTTATTTGACACAAAAAACAATAGTTTAACTATGTAATCTATAAAATTCTCATGATTATTTGGCAAAACAAAAGGATTAACTACTTACAAATTACAATGTGAATTTCCTCAAACATGCAAACATATTATCATCACTACAGTACATGAAATTCTTCGCTGCAAAACGGATACTTTCTTTTGTAATGTTTGTAACTAAGTGATTTATCTGGGATTTCGTATTAGATCAGATTTATTTTTAACTTATAGCTGTCGTGACATCACACCAAGGGCGGAAGTAAAAAGACCGCCGTAATACCAGGGGGTTTAAGGCAAAAATAGCTACCCATGCCATATTCTAAATAAATGTAGATACTATGCATGTTCTTTCTTAGAAACTCTGGTTCAGTCTGTTTATATTGTTTACCGTCGTTTAAAATGTGGGTATATTTGAATTGGTTACACAAGTGTTTAAATAATAGTTTTGCACATACATTATAACGGTAGCATAATAAACCTTCAAAATATCCATGCTTTCCGGAAATCTGTACACGGATTATATTTTGTTATCATTCGCAATTTTATGTGTCATATTGTGTAAACGTGCTATTTTAGTCGTGTTCCATCGGGGACTAGACACTCGCTACGCTGTCTGCTCACTTACGATGTATTAATAGTAGACATTGAATAATAAAATGAATAATATTATATTGGTAACAGCTAATTTTAAAATGCGACTCAATTACATAATTACTCATGTTTCTGTAGCGTATATAGGTTGTACATATATCTGGCAGGTGTTGCTTCACTGTTGTTTTCCAGGTTCTTCTTTTAACAAAGTGTGACGAAAAAACGGGGGAAAGTGCATTTTGTAACATATACATCTTGATAACCAACAAGTAATTTAGAAGCATTGAAAGCGCGGATCATGAAAGGGGGCGCTTAAGAGGTTATGACACCCCCTAGTTATGACTTCCTAAGATCTGGCAAGTTTGTCGAATCCGTGATTTCACGAGATTTGAATGTTTTAAATAGCCAAATTTGCGCACACATTTAGCTTGTGACCCCTCTGGAAAACTAGTAAAATGCAATCTCCTTTCGAATATGCATTACTCTACCCCCTTTCAATTTTTTTGCAATCTTCTCAGGGAAAAACTGATCCGCATCTATGAATTGACTTTTGTGAATGAAAACAATGCGATATAATTAAATTAATAAATTATTATCTAGTATAACTGTTAATGATATATAAAATATTTAATAAGATTCAATTAGCTATACAAATTGACAGTGAATTGATATGTAAAGGATTTAGTCACTGTCATTTTTGTGACTACCAATAAAGAATAGATGATACTAAACTACCACGTATTTTGATTTATGGTCTGTTATTCACACCGACAAGGGTTTTATAAACACAAGGGTGTAAGGATTATCTTTAATTATGATGGGTAATCGTATCTTTTACATTTAATCTGCTTGTAGGTAAAAGCATCTATATGTAGTATCATTTATTGTTACAAAAAAGAAAGATCTTTGTTACTTTTTTTTAGGAAAAGAGGATCTTTGTTACTTTTTTCTATTACAAATCTATAACATGTTTATCATTTATAAATATTGTATCAATCATTTTGAAGCGGACATATATTGTTTTTCAATGGATCACAATTATTTCAGCATGATTGATAATTGTTGTTGACGGACAGATCACTTTTATATAATAGAGGATGCATGCGTTAATAGTAAAATGGTGGTCCTTATAGACCTGCAAACTGCAAAAGATACCGTTTTATATTACCAATCCAAAACATATCCCTTACAATTTATAAATTATAATGCACTGATTGATATACTGAAATAAAGAATAATGAAGAATAAAGGTCAAACAACGTAATATGCAAGCGTCATTTTTGTTGTTGTTGGGTTTTACTTCGCAACAACAACACAGTGTAGGTCATATAATTATAGCTATTGTCCAGCTTTACTGGTGCAGGGAGAGTTGCCATTCCATGCATTCATTCAGGTAAGAACGGGCAAATGATTAGAACCACCGACGTTCCCTTAACTAACATGATAGATTCATCACATGCAGAAAATCTAAGTCCCTGTCGGTATTCGAACTCACAACGGTGAGTGGCAAGTGTTTTGAAGTCAACGACCTTAGCGCCGTTTGATAATAGATCTAAGTCACTATTAGGTGATATAGTAATGTGTGACTTCTGGATTAAACTACAAAGACAACCACTATATTAATAAAAACCAACAACAAACAACAATAACAGCAACAACAACAGATCGTTTTCTACATTCGGCAGTCAAATAAATTCCCTTAGCAAATAACACACCAAATCGTCAAAGACATCAAGTCAATATTTACAACACAATAATCATTCATTCATTAAATGTTATCTTGGTATAGTTAGCACAAAGGTATGAAAACAAATATTCTACTAATTAATGAAATCTTACTTCATATTATTTCAGTCCGAAGACTTTGGCCTTTTTACTGACACTAAATATTTGTATTTGTTAAAAAGATACATTTAGTCTAAAATCATAAATGCCATAGAGCAACAATATAAACATGACAAAAAGAGAGTTATTCTACATTAGATTTTGCTTATTATCAATAAAGTGTCTAAAATAATTTAAATCATTCAGAAGATATATTTCTAATTTAAAGCAAAAGGGCATGTACCAGTAAATCAGAAATTATATACCATTCCATAAAAAAGAATTAAAAAAAATATAGAAAAAATATCTGTTTTGGATAAGAACTATATGAGATTTGATGTCCGTCCTTCTAGAGCATTTGCACAATGTACAAAGTTGAATGTATGTATATAAAACTTGAATAAATGTATGTATATCATTAATGTACACGTATTTTCTGGAATAAAATATGTTAAAATTAATCATCGGCCATAAAATAGCTGTCAATCAATATAAAACAGACATTTCACTATGATCATCATATCATATGTTATTAATAATTAGTTCTTTTACATTGTGTACAATCATATATCAAATATCTCCAACAGTAATTTTTCGAAGCATTATAATCGAGTGTGCGTCTATTTGAACAACACTGAACATACAGCAAACAAAATAAGAAATGCGATGTTATATTCTGCTGAAAGGGCGCTGTTGAGCTCAGAGTCCAAACACACGAGGTCTGACATGGACAGATCAATGATTGGTTTGTAGTAGATCCGCGGAATTATTTCATCTGCCGTGCAGTTTAACTCACTTTTATTAACTGGAACGGTGGTTTCGTTTAACCACTTGTAAGTGGTTATAAGTCTGCAGTCGCATACAAATGGATTGTGGTCAAGTTTTACAAACCGAAGATTCTGCAGTTGTTCAAGTTTGTTCATAAACTCTACAGAAAGTGCTTGTATCTGATTGTAAGAGTAATCAATCATTTCAAGACTATCCAAGCAACCTGTTTCCATTGGTAATAAAGCATAATGGAGATCATTATTGTCAAGGTTCAATGCCTTAAGGGCTGGCATGTGGCACAGAACGTTTGTGGATAAGAATGAATCCGTGAACAGTAACTGTTTGTTGTTACTAAGCTCCAGAGTTTCTAGCGAAATATAATCCGAGTCGCCAAATATTCTTGCCAGTGGAACGACCTGGAGATCGTCGTCCCAGTCTCCATAGAACGTGTTCGTCAAGTCTAAATATTTCAGAGAGGGAAGACTGGCAAAGTAATTTGTGTCAAACGGCATGTTGGAAATTTTCCAATTATTGTTCTTCAATATAAGAGTTTCTAAGTTAGGAAAACAATGGAAGGTCTTCCTGTGAATTGTTGAAATGTTATTATTTGACAAATCCACAGTTTTTAAACTGAGTAATTCCAGAGACATATCATGTCTGCACGAACCAAACGTATTGGCCGGTAATTTTTGTAGATTGCTGTCAGTAATGGTAATAGAAGTCACATCGTCTTTGATATAATGAAGCAATTTTGTAATATCTCCAGACAGTTTTTTCTCATAATGACATTCCACTTCATAATCCGTACATATGCAATTTTCAAAATGATCTTTGTAATAATCCTTTCCTATAACAGTTTGAACACCAAGAACAAAAACAAACAGGTTATTAAAACCATTGTAAATATAAAATGCGTAGTATTGTCCGACATTATAATATTGTGTAAAACATTATGTAATTGTGCTCACAGAATACACTCACGTTACTTCAGTGAGCGATAGTGGAACATTCGACCGATGCGCAGAAGAGTAACATCACAGATGCGGGAATATCTCAACTCCACTAAGGCATTACGTAAACTACACTACATAGAATTAACATTACAAACGCACTAAACTATATTTCACATGCTTCAGGTTTGAAAGTTTGCATGAAATTTGCAGATATCCAATTCAAGTATGACAGTGACCGTTTATTATATAGTTGACATGAAAACTAAATAAAAATCAACATTTAATTAATTAGAACTTTGCAATCGAAGTACATTTTTATGATGAATAAATCATAACACTGATTAGAATATGATTTTAAAATACAGGTAACCTTAAATGTAATTATTCAAATTTTGATGGGGGACAAAACAACAATCAGAATAATTGTATTCATATTGTAAGAATTAAATTGTGATCGGCTCTTGGAAGACAAGTGATTTTAAATTTCAAGGTATTCTACTTCTGTTCAGAAATCTGTTCTAAATAATAATGTGTATTAATTTTCTTTATGATTATATAAAAAAGCAAGCATATATATTATGTTTCTGTGCGTGGTAATTGCAATTACAAAGTTGTCAGTCTTGCGTATTGCACCATCATTTTTCGTTATTATGCCATAGAATATTTGATCTTTGAATCGTGCATTAATTATTAAATAAATAACATATATGTTTGTGGGAAATAGTAACCATGACATCCCGAGGAAAATACTGTTACCCGAGACTGTAACCGCATCTTTACGAAGAATTTGTTGTTGTTTTCACAAAATAGAGAAAATAAGAAGCCCTAATGATATTCCAAAACGGTAAAATTGAAAATGTTGCAGACTCGAATGAGTGAGCCTCATGGACTGTACTGTCAAATGCAAACTACCGTCCACGACCCCTAGCCCCAGCTTAAGCATAACTCAACATTTAAGAATGAAAATGGTGAGATTTTGAATTTAGTAGCATCTGCAGATGTGTTCATACGGCGGTAATAATGGAGCCTTCTATGTGACACGTAGGTGCCATCCACAAATAGCGGCGTATGGTCCCCAAGCAAAGCAAGCGTGTGCCCTAAACGAGAAAACAATAGGCGGAACTAAGCAAAATGGAATTTTGAAAGGGGTCAGAGGTTATGAAGCCTGCATATATGTTTTACAATTATTTCATTACGCCAATCAAATACTTCTTTGTGGGACATTGTTTCTATAGGATTTTATTTTTAAGAATTTGACTATGAAAAACTACTGTTACATATTTAATAGTACAGCAATTTTAGTCACATACATGACATAATACACTTGAATTAACAGTACGAATAACTCAACTTATGTACAATTACCATTATAAAAAGTGAGGAATAATAATACATAATGTGTTCCAAAATGCGTTAAACATATATTTTGTAGAAACAGTCTGATTATAATGTTTAAATCACTTAGAACAAGAACTTGTAAGAAAATAACGTTGACTTGTTCTCCAACACAGCACATACGAGTTATCGTAGTTATCTGAAAAGACAAAAAAAATTTATATAAAATCAAATCACACACAAAAACAAAACAAAAGGACACAACTTTAATATTCCTAGATAATAAACATGTTTCCGAGTTTATGGGCAAAAAGTATTGATGCGTTTTAATTTCATTTTGTTTTTTTGTAAGATGTGCAAGCCAATATCATTCTGTCATCTTTTTCTTGATAGCCCGGAGCTTGACAGGTAGTGGACGATTCAGAGTATTGGAAGTGACGTCAGCTTCGAAACTTTGAGGAACATTAGGATCTTCTCGTAGAAAACTGAAGTTCTGAAGCAATGTCGTAATTACAAGGAACATCTCAGTTCTTGCCAATGCCTCACCCATACAAACTCGTGGTCGTGTATAAATGATATGATGAAACAAGGTAGTAATTATTGTTTTTCAATATCAAATACTAAAAGTCTAAAATTCGCCAAAATACACATAAAGTGAAACTTGGTGGCACGTCTCTAAATCAGTGAACTAACTTAAAGAAATCAAAGTGATGAAAAATACATGTTTTTAGACATAAATGACTATTTACAGTCAATATGAAAATAACAACTTATGCAAATCCGTGCAACTTTTACATTAAAATTATATCCAATCACTTTCAGAGTAAGAGATTTTCTGAATGTTTGGACCAGAATTGGTAACTGCCTCAGCGAAGGTTAAGTCATTAGATCTAGACTTAACAACATTTTAATCATAAGAACAGTTTTTTCATTAAAGTTTAAATAAAATTCAACGCAAAGTATGGCATCTTCAAAGCTGGAGTCATTACAAATCACTTGCTTCCTAACATGACTATGTTGACGAGGCAAGATGTCTAAGTCATTTTATCCTTTGCCCCTGCTTAAGATGATAGTTTTGGAAACGTTGAAAGGTGTTTGTGGGGGACAACGTTTTACTTGTACTGAATAAGCAATTGCGCAATTGAATATGTCTGAACATATGACTGAACAAAAAAAAAACAATTTTATGATTATGTCAATATAAGGGAATGGAATTTTTATTAGTTAAACCTTCAAAATATCTCCATTTATTAAATAACTATACCTGTTGATAAAATGAGAGTACAGCTGAATGTTAAAAAAAGAACATAGCTAGTCATTTTATTTCATTTTATTTCCTTTATTTTATTTCATTTTAGAGAGAAAAATACATCTGACTAATATTTTACCACTGGAGTTCTTACGTTGAGTTTATAGCACATTTTTGTTCAGAGTTTATTTTGTGTATATCTTTATTACCTGTTTATATATCTTATATATTGCTTTGTACGAGAAATCATACCCGTGGAAAATGGTACGTATGGCAAGTTGTTTATCAGTTGTCCTTCCTCATCAATGAACCTTCCGGGATCAAATTTCTCTGGATCTTTGAAGAGGTTAGGGTCCATGCTAACTGAGTATTGCATCGGAAGTATGACAGTACCTTTAGGTATATGAAAACCAGATAGTGTTGTATCTTCACTTGTGTAATGTGGCAGGTTTAAGGGAACTAAAATGAAATAAAATAAAGACACTAAAATGAAATCGAGTTCGGGACTTCGAATTACATCATGTGCTAGACGAGAAGGTCTGTTGTTCTATCTAAGTGCTTGCCAGTGCTTGAAATTGTTCAATGAGGAGCAATTGAGGTCGTCACCGTAAACAACAGCATAAATATCCCATTGGCCTTTATAGCGCCGTTGGTGACTGTCTGTACACGCAACACTGTATTCATTCATATGTTTGTACGGAAGATTTCTCATTACAATGCGCATACGCAACGTCATCTTTGTTTAGAGGGGGGGGGGGAGTAATAAACAATGATTAATACGAACAGACAAGGTTAAATTATGTCATTTACGAGACGTGATGAAGCAAAAAGGACTAACATAAGATCTACAAACATCCTCAGTGCCACCTTCTTAAACAAAACAATGTAAAACGAGCGTTAGTGACTTCCAAGAAGAGCAGTGTCGTGAGTATTTGCACAGTTAGTTGCAAAGAATTACAATTTGTACTTTAAAATTAAAATTGCAATCATTGAAATCGGAGAATGTCATCGGAAGATAAAATGTTTTAGCTATTTGAATATCATAATATTATGATTTGCGCAATTTCCAATTTTGAAAGTTTTTTTACAAAGATAAATGTATTTGAATCTATCTTAAGTTGAGTGCTGTTGAAATTTCGATACATGCAAAAAAGCATTGTACATCCATCAAAGCAATCATACAAATACAAACTCAATGTATATGTATATTAAAGTGACATTATGCTCATATTGTCATAGTCAAGTTGAGCTGAATTGACTTGTAATTTCAAAAGATTGGCTGATAAAATGGTGTTTGACCAACATTTATTTATGGAAAATGTTTAGGATAAGGACATCACATAAACCATTATTTTGTAATTATATATATTCATGTCATGTGTCATTTATGTATTATATTTTGTATTTGTATATGTAATATGGTGATGAGCTTTTTATGCTTAAACCAAGAAATAAAGTTTCTGTGCTGTTTCTGTTCTGTTATGAATTAACATTAACAAAGACTTTGAATCATTCGCTTCAATCAGGGTCTGTTCGAATCCTGCTAGGAAAGTGTACATTTATAGTGAGCTTTCAAGAAAATTTTCCACGGAAGTCGATTTTAACCTAGCTTGTAGTAAGTCGGGGCGACAAACCGGGACCTCTCTCTTCAAGCCACCATTGAAGCTGAAAAGTGTCATGACGTATAGACAGTTTAAATATTATCTTAAACCGAAAAATGAATAGCACTGCAGATGAATGAATGAATAAATCAATGAATACCTGGAAAAGGAAGGGAGGGAGGAAGGGCCGACTGAGCGAACGAACGAATAAATTGTAAAAATTGTTTACTACGTTTAAAAGAAATAATATAATTTTTGATATCTAATTTGATATCAAAAAGAAATTGTAACTTAAATTCATATGCATGCTTGGTATCATTTGGTAGTACATTGCAAAAAACAAAAACCTAAAGAAACGGACTTAGTCTAACACAGTCAGGTAACTGTGCTATATACTAACTTTCACATAAAATGTTTATATTATTCAATACCGTTTAAATTTCCTTCTGGCATTTTTCGGTACCCGCGACAAATAAATCAACTATGACCCAAAACATGCTGTCCCCTATTCGAAAAAGAAAGACGAAATGAATAGGTTACTAAAATACATTATTTGTTTAATATAAAGTTTGATATTTAGTATGCTATATAGCGTTATCTACATTAAGAATGCCATCGTTAAACACTTGAGAAAATATATGATATGCTAAGGTTGTTTAGGCTCTTTCTAGTTCCAACTGTTCGTGCCCATCATTATTTAAAGAATTTGATATAAGAAAATATTGACAATTGCTACACAGTCTCTTTGTAAATATAAAATAAACATGCTTTGACTTCACACAAAGTAGATATGTTATGTATAAAATTCTATACCCTATAGGTGGCCACAATATGAATTTATAGTGTCATAAAAAAACAAGCAGTTTTTTTTTTCAAGAAAAGACCAAATTTACTTGACCTGTAATAGGAAACACAGATACTCAAACATAGTTCAATATTTTATGCAAATGAAAAATATTCAGTTAGAATTTCATATATTTCAAATAATTCCTGCGATTAAATATATTTTACTCAAGGATGAACATAGTATATCTTTAAATGCACCCTGTTTCAATCAATATTTGCTAAATTGGAGACAATTTGTGATATGATAATCTCATTTACTTTATTTCAGAAAAATAACGTTATGCTAATTTGCATATTCAATGTTTCAGACGATGTTTTATACTCAATGAATTCCGGTCCTGATTTTCCAGAGTATTTTTGCGAGAAACGTTCGTTACTATTTATAAAGGCATCTTCCTCATCTGTCTTGTTCCTGTCAACGTCTAAATATAGATCAAGGAAGTCTCGTATATTAGCAGGATCAAATGTGCTTCTGTGCTCTTCAATTTGTTCACCAACATATTTTGCGATATCATTCATGACCACTTTCCTCTTTTCCTCGATCTCGGAATCCTTACAACGACAAAAAAAATCGGAAATATTGTAGTTTCGTTTCAACGACATTGAACAGACAGACTGGTTCCTCAGTTCAAATGTATGTATAAAATACAGGCAGATGTTTCACACTGTGCTGATGTAACTATGGAATAATATTTGCACAAGTTAATTGTTTGTCACAAAAATAAATATTTGGTAAATTTTTTGAAATAAAATACAAAAAGCGACCACTCTTACTATATTTTTTCATATAATTTTATAAAACAAAACAAAATAAATACTTCATATAAAGAAACCTGGTTTACATAAAAATACAGTGAAGTTATCGCAAATAAATGACTCCAAGATATTCAGCATGAATTAAACATGTGAAAAGAAGTACATCTTTTGATCTTATGGTTAACAGATGTCATCCGGAACTCGGCAAAAGGTTTTTCCCCAAGCTTATCCGTGGTACAAACAAACTTTTACCGTTATATAGCACATCACAATAGATTAGACTTGTCGACCTGTTGCACTTATTTTCGAAGCTGTAACTGTATAAGTTTGTTTGAACATACGGATTAGCTGGGAAAACACAAAATATCCTTAACGGACTTGCTCCGGAGAATAAAGAATATTTTGGGTTTTCCCAGCTAATCCGGGGGTACAAACAAACTCTTACGAAATAGGCGTAACAGGTTGACTAATGTGTTGTGACCGGTAGTGCCACGTGAAGCTATTGATTAGCATGGAAAAACCCACATTTGCCGAATTCTGGATAACGACTATTCCGGAGTTGGTCTATTCCTGATAACCCTAAGGGGAAATATTACCGTTTTCTTGACGAATTTAGCCAGGAACTCCGGCAAAAAGAAAGCAGCACTAACAGACGAAGCACTGTTGAGAACATCCGATAACTCCGTGATCCGATCTAATTCTAGGTCATCGTAGTCGAACCTAAGGATGTACAGTGAAAATTTATTAAAACTGTAGGTTGGCAAATTTATTTAAAATGCCCTCACAAATGCTAAGGATAAGGGGCCTGAATTTGGACGCGACGTTATGTCTTACAATGATGGACATTAAGACGCAACACGTGATATGACACATTTCAATACACAAAGTGAATTAGCCCATAATGGAAAGTATGGTGGCTGATTTGTGCCATTCTTGTTTTCGCCCCGCGACTCCGCCATACGAAATGTGGAAAATTAACAGGTTAAAATGGCAGGGGCGCGGAGCAAAAACACGCTAGTTAGCGTGGGCGCGGTTCGAAGTTTATTAAAATAACTTCAATCCGCGGGGCGCGGAGCGAAATTGAAGAAATAAAACTGCGGGGGCGCGGGGCGAAGTTTAGAAAATAAAACTTCGCCCACGCTAATTAGCGTGTTTCGCCCCGCGACCCCGCCAAGCGAAAAATCGAGAATTAGCAAGTTAAAATGGCGAAAACACGATTGGAACAAATCAGCCACCATAGGAAGATCTGTTATATAACTTGTTTGTTTCTTTGTTTCATTTTACGCCTTTCCCAACAGTATTTCATTCATATAGGCGGGTAGTTTCCTAACCATCGTTCCTGGAGAGTTACACCAGTACTAGACTACAATCCTTCGTGCTAAACTACCAAGCATCTCCCGGGGATGGAACCCACGTCAGAGAGGTAACTTGATTAGAAGTCATATCGGCTCTTATCCCTCGACCACGGAGGCGGTCTGTAATATAAACACCACAAAATGTTTCTGTGTGTGTGCGTGTGTGTGTGCGTGCGTATGTGTTGGTGTGCGTGCGTGTGTTGGTGTGTGTGCGTTTGCGTGTGTGTGTGTGTTGTTTTTTTCTTCTTTTGGTAAAGGTGAGAAACATTATCCGATATAGCAGATTTTAAATTGTTCCAGAACAAAATATTATTATTGTAAATATAAATATTTTTACAATATCACTTTAAAATGCTATCGCCATTTTTTTTTCAAGAAATATTTCATTTTGCGTGGAATCTGTTGCCGCAGTATGCACTGTGAATCAAATATTCAAAATTTTACTGGATTTAGTTTGTGTATGATTACCTTTTACCAAAAATTATTTCATAATTGACGTTAGCGACTAATTTCCGCACGAGATCACTTATGGATACGGGTTGACCATCGGCTGCTTCAAGTACATCAGTGACGACCTGAATTTCAAAATTTATTTTCTCTTCTATAGGTCTCCCGACACCAAAATCATGTAGTGCCCGTTGCGTACTCGCCAATATTGACCATAATTACTCCACACTATACCTGCACGAGGTTTAAACTTTTCATGCTTAATAATTGAGGAATACACCAAGAAAATGAGAATTTATAATTATTATTATAAGTGAAAAGTATTTTAAAGATATATTGAAAAGTATTAATTATGGCTGTAATATTCATAAATATCGCAAACATCTTAACTGAATTTTGTAAACTTCAGTAACTGTACATCTTTACAAATTGATGTGAAATAACAACATGGTGTCATTTCTCACATATTTGTGGTGCGTACAGATGTACAATGTAAGTTATGATACGAATATTTATTTATGCATCTTGTTACTTACAGTGAAACCTGTGAACAGAAGTCACCTAAAGGAGATACCAAACATTGGTTTTTAAGTTTTGGCGGTTACTCTGTTCTATTAAATCAAGGTCGTTGAAAAATGTTTTTTACAGGGTAAACTCAGCACAGAGATATTCTTAAACACAAACTGAACATGTTTTATATTTTTTTCTAAGATTCAATAAGAAATTATAGGTCATGTATTACTCACATGTATTATTTTTTAAATGGTTTTTAAACAAGGTTTTAAAAATAATGTGCATTTCTTCATTTTTAAATCAATAAGTTAATAAAACCACTATTGGAAAAACATAAATTAAACTCATTTAGGATTAAGGTGAGAAGACATATACAAGTTCCAGGGCAACATTTGCCTAAATGTATGAAAAGAAGGACCCACCTTTTGATGCACCTGTAACTTCCCCTTTGTTTTCAGGTCTGTCGCTGAATATTTCTGCTTTCTCCACCAGAGCCTCGTTTATGACGTCGATTCCACTTAGAACCACAAACATTTGATTCCCTAAGTACCATCGGAAAACGCTTCCATACTTTCTGGCCTCATCAGCAAACACTAAGTGATTCCTTCTTTTTGAAAGTTTGTACAGTAAAAATATTGAACCAACGATTGGAAATTTAAAATGTCCGGGTGGTTATTTGCTAGGGGTTCTTACAATGTACCACGTCACACAAAATATTACTATCAGCATTAAAGTAACAGCGAATTCCATATTTATTTTCCAAGTAATTTTAAATGATATGCCATACTCCATGACAGCTTTTTAGGTGTAAATTTGATCGTTAATATATCTTAACATCTCCTAACATTGAAGTAAAGTCATATTTGAGCCCAAGGTTTTACAAAACATATAACTTTACACGCATCAACAAATTTTCATAGTAAGGCGACTGTTTTTGGTATAATATTACACATTACATTTTGATGTAAACAGTTTATACATAGAGGATATTGAGTGAGTGTAGTTCAATATTAAATTTATTGAACGAGTTGAATAAAATCATATTATGCGAGCCTCTGGCGAGCATAATAGTTTTTTTATTCAACGAGTTCAATAAATTTAATATTGAATCTACACGAATATAATATTCTTTTTATCACATATATAAAACAAAAACAATAAACTGTTAAAATGAGTAATTTTTCAATGACGCGTTTATAGTGGTATGCTAACATTAGCGCGCTTTAACACTATGTTTCTATATAGTGCAAATGACGTCACGTCAAGGTGTTATTACACTAGTGTAATATCGTTTTTATTTGTTTGGGTCGTCAGACCAGACAAATAATGGTAGCGAAATTTCAGACTCTACTGCTGTTAATTGCAAATGCCGAAAGTAGTCCGCTTTTTTGAAGCGGTTACTTCCCTTTATATGTACACTAACGCCGAAAAATTTAGGGGAGATCACTGCGTAAAGATGGTCAAATGACAGGCGCATTAATTTTCAATTAAAATAACTCCTGAATGGTCGAAGATTTCTAATATTGTTTTATATTCTTTATAGATACATATTCTTATAGTAAGCTCCATGAATATTTACATCTGTGTCAAACAACAGTTAGCGTCGTTACAAACCCTAATTTAGAGTAATATGGTTTTCTTGAGGCCGTTAACATAGAAATTCACCGTGGCCGAGGTGTTTGCGCGCTTGCTTAGGAAGCGAGAGGTCTGGAGTTCAAATCCCAGTTAAGGCAACTCATTTTTTTTCAAATTGTTTAAGTCAAATCAACATTGGATTGAATATCAGTGTTGCAATAAGTCTTATAGCCAATTAAACATTAAACAATTAAAACGTTGGAAAGCATTGGTGGCACTATACAAAAACAAATTGGTTTATAATCTCACAACCTTCACCTTTCTGACATTCTGAGACCCAAACAAATTCAGCGCCTTCTGTGCTTTGATTATTAAATGGCTTTATTACTTTCCTGCGCCGCGGTTTATGTGATAAGGTGTAATATTTCCCAAAAACAGATATGTTTTTCTATGCTTCAGTGATAGAATACCCGTTTGAAATAAAATAATTTATGTTATGGTGGAAATGATAACTTCTGTATGAGCCAGGGCAAAAGTACAGAGCGAATGGCCGTAGAAAAGATTGAATTCTCAATCACAACGAACGTGACAAGTCTTTTTTTCTGATGATATAATCGTATTTACAAAAGAAGATGAATTATAAATAGGTAATATATATTTTGAATGTCAGGCATAAAGATGAAGATGTTTTAATAGACGGCTTTAATTTTTGTATTTAATCAAATTGAAAATAAAAAGGCACGAATCAACCGTTATTTTCGCATAAACACGGTGCTTTAAGTGTTTTATGTCTAGATAATGCACCATTAAATGAGCCGCGTCATGACAAAACTAACATAGTGTGTTTGCGACCAGCATGGATCAAGACCAGCCTGCGCATCCGCGCAGTCTGATCAGGATCCATGCTGTTCGCTATCAGTTTCTCTACTTGTAATAGAGTTGGTAAACTTTGATTACACATTATCACAAAGTAAAGCATTTGAGCCGCGTCATGACAAAACCAACATAATGGGTTTGCGACAGCATAGATCCAGACTTTCCGATTTTGGCAAGCTTATATTTACTAATGTATGTCATGTCTGCATCTCTTGTTCTCAACGTAGAAATATTGGTCAGAAGATATTGAAATCTTAAGAAGGTTGAACTTCTTCACATAAAAGGTGTCCAAAGTAATAGTATATTGTTATTCATTCTAGTCTGTATCAGTATGTTGAATTGAAGTTAATGCATGTATGTATGTTTAAATTTTGTTCGTGATAGTTTGCAAATGCACCACTTGTAATTCAGACACATTGTCTTATAGGACTCTTACCTTATTGAAAGGTAACTGTAACTGAAAAACCGAGCTCTTATTATATTATTACAATTTCAGAATGTTTTATTATTGTATTATAATGCAGTCAGATTATTCATTATATCCCTCGAAAGAAATTGTTTGTTTGATATGGTTTTACGTCACACCGACATGGTATAGGACATATGGCGACATTCAAGCTTTACTGGTGGATGAAGACCTCAGGTGCCCATCTGTACATTATTTTAGGCACGAACGGGCACCTGAGTAGAACTAGCGACGTTTGTAAGCTAGCTGGATAGAAAGAAATTGTAAGATAAAAATAAATGTGAGCATATACTTCTACATGATATATTGTTATTTGTTACGACACAAACAAACAAAGAGATATAAGTTATTCTGATGCGTTTGATTCACACAATTACTTAAATGTTTGTCAGTGAATATTATTCAGTCTGTTTTCTCTTAATAGCCCTAAGCTTGACTGGTAGTGGACAATTCAGTTGACTGCAATTGGCATCCGATTCGAAACTTTGAGGAATATTAGGATCTTCTCGGAGAAATTTGAAGTTCTGAAGCAATGTTGTAATTACAAGGAACATCTCAGTTCTTGCCAATGCCTCACCCATACAAACTCGTGGTCCTGTATAAAATATGATAATACTAGTTATAAGTAATGAACTTATGCTATATAAAAGGTCACCATTTTAACTCCGTATGGAGATCTTAAACTGAAAAGCCTCTCGACGAAAAAAGATACAGCTAATTCAGGAAATTTAATATCACATAGTTTTTCGAAATGCATAATTATTCACAATCCAAATGAAATTTTGGAAGTTTTTACGAAAGCTATGAAATAATTAACTATTTTATCACTAAAATTATTTCCTATTACTACCTGAGTAAGATGATTGTCCTAATATTTTAATCAGAATAGGAAACGTTCTGGCTATAGTAACTGCTTAAGGCTGGTTAAATCACATTATATGTACATTTGACGACAGTTTTTACTTAGTTAAACACTTTTTAAAATTCATAATAATGAACATTAATTTGATATTCTGCTTAAAGGAACATAATGTATATAAAGCGCATGGAGTCATATTTTTGGACCCCTGAAAAGTCACTACCGTGAAAACACGGTTAGAGACAAACTGTTATATGTAAAAAACCATTCACCACTGCTTTAGTTGAATGATATATGTGGAGAGGTGTGGGAAGTTATATAAAATCCAAAATTGAGGCAACTGTCCTCAAATATATGACTGAACATCCTTTAAAAAGAACATTTAACCCATGGCAACACAAATTCAAAAAAATATTTTACCGGAAAGGTCATACGTTATGTTAACAACACATGAGATTTATTTTAGAGTTCAAACTGTATAATTGTTTTGTTTGTTTGTTTCTAATCTTTTCTTTTTAAGAGGTTGTACGAGTCATCTTACCAATGGAAAATGGAACAAATGGTAAGTTGTTTATCAATTGTCCTTCCTCATCAATGAACCTTTCGGGATCAAACGTCTCTGGATCTTTGAAGAGGTTAGGGTCCATGCTTACTGAGTATTGCATCGGAAGTATGACAGTACCTTTAGGTATATGAAAGCCAGATAGTGTTGAATCTTCACTTGCGCAATGTGGAATGTTTAAAGGAACTAAAATGAAATCAAACAAGGTTTTAGAATACAGAATAAATAACTGAGCGAACAATCCCATCATATCATTGACTAAAAGGCAATCCAGGGCTTCTGTTACGCAGCGGTTAAGTTATCTGACTTCATATTACTTGCCTCTTACCGTTGTTGAATATGATAAAGTTTTGGACTTCTGATTATTTCATGTGAGACAGCTATTCTTTTAGCTTGTTCTACTAAAATACCAATCAGTGCAACAGATAAATAAATGAGATGAGGAGCAACTGAGGTCCTAATCCAATAAAAAACTGAAATGAAAAAATCTCCACTGACAATGAAAGCTTATGAACACACGTTCATGGTTCTTATTATTATTCCTTGTGCTTTTCTGATAAAGAGCATAATGAGCTGGCACTTTTTTACAAATTTACGAGAAATTGTATCATTTGAGGACAAGCAAAGTTATAAAGAGAATACGTTTAATGAATTCGTTTACAGAACGTGATAGTAAAACAAAAGCTTGAGCAAATTGGTGACCCAGATTAAAAATCTATAAACTCACAAGACGAATAGTATTCTGTAGAAAAATAAATTAAAGACTTACGAATACGATATGATAAAAGTACTTATATCTATCAAAACAATAACATTCATTCAGACGAGGTTGTTAAAAGAAAAGATTTTAATTGCTGTAAAACAGACATTTTTACAAACACAGTACTACGCATGCGCACACGATACGTATAAATGTCGTGTCCCTTACCCATACAGCAATGTCTGTGAACTTCCATTATGAAAGCGCTTACATAAACCAGACGATCTCGGTCACTGTACTGAATAGCTTTATCGTTGATTTTCTAAAATTATACAGAAAAAAATAAAACGATAATGTTTTTTTAATGGATATAATAATTTAACGTTTTCGAGTGCTCAAAATAATGACTTACAATTATTTTCTTCAGCCACGGTATGTGGATGCGAATATTAATTGTAAGCTGTCAAAGTAACATTATTAGAAGGTCGGTGTGTTGTTTCTAGCTTGACGTCAGTCGAGATGACAAATCTATCATTTAAGATGAATTGTGTCGCGCATAACGCAATCAAATGAGTGAATAGTTAAAGTTTGTATTACGTTAAAAATGATTTTGTATTATTTATAATTAATTGTGACGAATGAAATCTATATGCATATTAAAAAATTGCGATTAAAAACGGACTTGCATAGCACACAAGCAAATGGAATAACAAATGTAAAAGTAACAGTGGCTTGAGACCCATATCAACAATTATCAATCTAGTGATTTGGAATCTATGATCACACAAAAATAGTAAATTTTAAATAAAAATAAATAAAAGATTTACAAGTTATTCTACTTGGAAAGATGTTTCAAACATACATTACCGTTTCAATTTCCTTCTGACATTTTTCTTGAACGCCCGGGAATTCAACCAAGTACAGAAACGCCCAAGAAAGAGCTGTTTTAGTTGTCTCAGTACCCGCGACGAATAAATCAACTATGATCCAAAACATGCTGTCCCCTGTTTAGAAAACATATTTCTCAAACAATTCACTGTGACTGATAATAACTTATGTTTCTTACAATTCGTGCTAGCCTTTTATTTTTCTTGTGTTAAACAGAATTCTTGCCATGATGTCTTATATTAATTGTGTTTCACTCAATTAATGTAATAATTAGTTTGATTCATTATGTTTTAGATAAGTCATACTATCATTAGCAGGGTTTGTTTTGCTGCAGAAAATTTATATAAATATGATAGTTGGCATTCATTATTCTAGGTGCTGTGAGTATTTGTTTTCGCCTTTTTTACATATTTGTTACAAACAACACTTCTAATTTGTTCTGGTAATGATAACAAGAGTACTTTTGCGAAAAGAGTTTCTTACTGTTTATAAATGAATCTTCCTCATCTGTCTTGTTCCTGTCAACGTCTAAATATAGATCAAGAAAGTCTCGTAAATTAGCAGGATCAAATGTGTTTCTGTGCTCTTCAATTTGTTCACCAATATATTTTGCGATATCATTCAAGACTGCTTTCCTCTTTTTCTCGATCTCGGAATCCTTACAAAAATATAATTTTGTTTATTATAGGAAATAATTTATTTTTCGTTAAAAATAATTGGAATGGTTATAGTGTACGATTGAAATCATTAAATGCGATAGTTTTCAATACAAAATATTGTTTATATTGACACAGGGTCGAGTTAAGCTTGGATATCAACCGGATATGTTAGCTAAGCTTACATTATTTTGTAACTATTATCATCATGATAAAAAAGAAACCTTAAAAAACGCCGTAAACGGCAAAACTGAAAATGTTGCAGACTCGGTTGGATCACAAAGATCACTTTGTATCGTTTTCTTTGTAATTTAAAAAAAGAGATATGAAATATATTCTCCACTTTTCATGCCTGGTGGTTATTTATGAATAAAAGACCTACTAGCAGTAAAGCTATCGGCAATAGACTTCTTCAAGAAACTATATACAGTATAAATTCTACAAAAATCTAACGTTCGATATCTCTTTCGCCTGTGATGACTCTCCAGTAGAGCAAACATTACCGTTTTCTTGACCAACTTAGCAAGGAACTCTGGCAAAAATATAGCAGCACTAATTGGCGAAGCATTATTGAGAACTTCAGAAAGCTCGGTCATTCGATCTAGTTCCCGGTCATCGTAGTCGAACCTAAGATTGTACAATAAACTAGCCTAATGCAGCTACAATCCATACAAATAATTCTATATATGCAACGATAGTCATAACTCCATTGAAACATCGGATAAATATTACAAAACAGGAATATGTGTTATAAAATTGTTCACGGTTTGTGAATTTTATTTATGTTTTAAAACATTTTTTCTTTTGACATCGTGTTCACAAATCAGGCTTTAGAACTATATTATAATTATCGTCCGAACATTGAGATTACCTTATGTGGTGCAATATACCGAGCAAGCCTATGCGATTTTCATTACCTATATATTCAATAAACTTGCATGCTAGATAAGATATTCAATATCTAACAGAGATTTAACAATCGTGTTAAATTACCTTTTGCCAAAAATAATTTCATAATTGACGTTAGCAACTAATTTTCGTATCAGGTCACTTATGGATACGGGTTGACCATCGGCAGATTGAAGTGTATCAATGACGAACTGAATTTCAAAACTTATCTTTTCTTCTATAGATGTTTTGCCGACACCAAAATCACGAAGCGCTCGGCTCGTGAACTTTCGCAATGCTCGCCAATATTGTCCATAGTTACTCCACGCAATGCCTGCAAGAAATAGCTCAATACAATTTGATTCACAAGGGCAAAAGCCGATTGCCGTATGATTTTCTAATATCGAAGAAAATCAACAATTATTCTTTTAAAACATCAAAATGGGGAAATTGGCCCTTAATGAAAAAAGATTAACTTTGAAATCCGTTCATCTCTATAATCTTGATGTAAAATATCACTTCTTTCTTTGTCGAAGTGTTGCAAATATTGCTGTATGTGTACAGATAATTTGAGTTCCGTGTTAGTCAAGATGTTTTTTGAACTCAACTTATAAACACATACGTCAGCGTTGGTTATCAGTTTAGTTTTGTTTTTGAGTTTATGGACATTAACATTAATACTAACAAAGATTATGTAAAACGTTATATTTGGATGCATTTTACTACATTCATTTCAAGGTAAAACAGTTAAAGATCAAGCCCGAGGAATTTCGAACAGTATAATTATGTACTTGTAATTGTTCCTTGATAGTGTTACTTGCCACACTTATTTCCAGGTCTCCAGGTCGAGGCCATTTTTTGCTCTGGTTAACCTTTATTTTTTAACAAATGAAGACAAGAACCCACCTTTTGTTGCACCTGTAACTTCCCCTTTGTTTTCAGGTCTGTTGCTGAATACTTCTGCTTTCTTCACAAGAGCTTCGTTAATGACGTCCATTCCACTAAGAACAACAAACATTTGATTCCCTAAATACCAACGGAAAACGCTTCCATACTTTCTCGCCTCATCAGCAAACACTAAGTGATTCCTTCTTTTTGAAAGTTTGTGCAGTAAAAATATTGAACCAAAGATTGGAAATTTAAAATGTCCGGGCGGTAAATTGCCCGGGGTTCTTATATAGTACAATGTTATGCAAAATATTGCTATCACCACCAGAATAACAGTTAAATCCATATTTTTTCAACGACGTTCTAAATTTCTTTATTACTTAATGACAGCTGTTTAGGTCTTCATTTAATCATTAGAACATATTCACCATCTTACAACTCTTTACATATTACTCTCTTAAACAATGACTTTATACAACATGTTATCGTTCATATATGATAAATGCAAGTGAGCAAACTGGGCCAGTTCATACTGATAACACACTTAGCGTCACAATAACAATATGTTTTACATTGTAGCTTTTTCCACGTTAAATACATAGTTTATCTCTATTCAACAACCAGTTCGATATTGTTTCCCAAGTTGAAAATATGGAAGTAAATTATGCGGTTACTATATCGTCATTGACTTATAAGCTCTATATGTTTAATTAATTGTATCTCCGTCGGTCTGTTACAAAAATGCCTTGTCATTTATATTATTATTTTGACCTTGCAGTTATCACTTTTCACAAAGGTTCAGTGTTTTTAACCTCATGAGTGACTTCAATGTCAAATCTTCGTCACAAGATTAGCCTCAGTCTGTATTGTTGATCTAGCTTTAATAGTTTGATATAATGCGGTTTCAAGTACAATACATGACATGTGCATTACTCCATGACTTAAAAACGGTAAGAATTGACATTACCAGGGCATGCATATTACAGATAAATACAGACACAGTAACACTTAACATTACCGGTATTGCCGAGATCATGATATCACATGTTAAATTTACACCTGCAAATATACATGTATGTAAATATAATGCACAATGTCTATTTAAAACACGTTTTGTCAATGGAACAAGTAAAATAATATCCTTGTATCTTCAAGCGAGGTTTTACGCACTCGTAAAATGGCTGTGAAGGAATGGTCAGCTTTGCATACCTTTAGATGTTACCTGGACGAATGTCTGTTTAGAACTGCGCAGTTTTTGAAATTAAAGGGGGAGCGTTACGACACGAAAATTACATTGCGTCCGTTCTAGTAGTACTCGTTTTATACTGTGACAGGACGGGTATACTTTGGCAGTCAGTGCCGTAATGTGCCAGGTATCCGACACCATTTGTCTCATTTATATATAGACATTATTGCACGTAATGGTTTATCATAATGCCTTGAACATTGATTAACAATATCCCCATTAAAAGGTATATAAACTTTTAATAAGCAAATGACCAACGATAAAACATTAAATTTGAGCATAAACGTAGTACATGTATATAAGATTAATGCCAAATCTAACCAAAGTAAAACAGCACACGTGTTACATGATTTATGTTTTTGAAACCAAAGAACAAGAGACAACGTGTTTACGCATGATTTAATTTTAGCCTAGTTCCACGATATGAAATGTCTGTAAACTACAGACAGTTGCACAGTTCATTATTTGTATACGGAGAAAACATTGTCTTTTAATTTGAAGAAAAAGTAAATAAATATGTTTTACAACAAAGCCAGAAATCTATAATTGGTCATGAAGCGTAAAGCTTGAATTTTTATTGACGACTCCCAAAATAAATCGTGTCATTCCGCATTAAATCATGCTTTTATACAAAATCATATTAGACTCGGCTTTGCAGCCGAATAAATTGAGAAAATGTTTTTTATTTTCATTTTTATACAATCACATAAATCATATCACAAGTCTAAATGACCCTTTTCTACAATTTCCACATAGAAAATACGTACGTACGACTGCTACTGCAATTATCACCTGTTAAGGGTGCGGCCATACCCTTGAATTGATATACAGCAGATTCGATACTTAAGTCTAATAATAAGTTCAATGCAATGTTATTATATCGTATAGCTTTCATAAAAGTTGCTGATTAGCGTTAACGGCATGAGTCCGCAAAAAGACGTGTACAGCACAAAATAACATCAGTAGGCCTACGCTTATTCTTCAAATGACGTCTATAATATTTAAATTAATGATCTTTACATCAAATGGCACCAATGTTTAGACTCTGATCTCCCATATTAAAAGATCTAAAAACTTGTATATCACAGAGACACGCACAACTCAATACTGACCTCGCACTGCCTTTTCTTCAGGAACACATCAGAGATGGCATTGCAGGTCAACTATAAGGCTCATCGGATGAACATAGTAGTGCTGATCCGGCAGTTGCCATTCATGTTTTATTTGCGTCCTATCCCAACACTAAAGAATCCAGGTTATGCTGATAAGATAAGAAGGAAACACTTTTATGATGTGTAAAGTTCTTTGTATTGCTTATTATTATTAGTTATTATTAGGAAAATTCAGAGATATTATGATTGCCGTATCGTCGTCATCGTGGATAGAATAAATGCAGCCGCTTTGTAACATAATTTCAAAAGCATCAACTCAAAACTTGGAGTTCATAGTAATCATAATAAGAAATAGTTGAAAGAAATGTGGCATAACCCTATTGAAAGCAATATACATGTATTTGAAATTATGTCCCCTTTAAAGTTTTTATCAAATGTTTGTCAAAATTGCCTATTAAGTAGATTGATTTCAAAATTATGAATGGTATCAACATGCAAGTTCAAATACTTGCTGATTATGCAAAGATACAGTTGTTAGACAAGAAACATTATTTTGGATGAAATATTTTTGGAGTTGAGCCTATTTGTAATTAGATTTTTGCATATTTCTTAAGATGATTTCAAAACAATCAAATCTTTAAAAATGTTACTCGAAACACTTGATTATCCTAATCTAAGATTATTTTTTCTTTATAAACAGGCGAGCTTTAACACTGCAAACGCAGTGTCTTTACACGTGGGCTTAAAAGCAAGGATTTATGGAAGCATTTTGTTTTCTGTATTGTATTTTTATTTTTTTTTTTGTTCCGAAAAAACGTAAATGTATTTAATCATTGTGTACTGTTTTATAGAAAATATATCATTCAATAAAAATTCGCAAAAAAAAATTAAGAATAAGAAAGTAATACTGCATTGTGACCGCTTTTATTTAGTAGGTAGTAACAGTAAATACTTGTGATTTTGTATACATGTAGATAAAATCAAAGTTTAACATTGTGAGGGAAATGCTTCATTGTGCAAATAGAAAAACAGTTTTGATATGTATCCTTGGTATATAAATGTTTTCACATTCTTTGTTATGATGTTTGTCAAGTAAAATTCGAGTATTATGACTGTCTAATTGAAAAGTCATGTGTTTAGGTAATATGTTTGAGCGTATACAAGTGTATAAAAGCGTATACAAGTGTATAAAGAACACATTTTTAAAAGCAAATCTATTTGATTCCTCTGCATTGTTTTAATTTTTTTGAAATTTCAAATAAGACTTTGAAAGCACAAATACATGTAGGCTCACAAGGATATCATATAATAATTGTGGTTTCTTTCTATGCATACTATAAGACAAAACTTATTTGGAATTCAGCCATCATCACATCAAATTAAATTTATATAGAATAGCAGGAGGTAACTAGAGTATGATTTCTTTTGTAATCGTTTCAATTCTTGTACAACTTCTAGCAAATTTCACTTCATACTGCTTTAAGTAAATACTTTTCAACGAATTAAAATATCAAAACTGAATATTTTTAATCTTTATTTCTTACATACAAAACAACTATTTAGCTAAAGTCAATATGGCATTTGAAAACTAATGTAAAGTTTATAAACTACAATGAATTGAGGAATTATAACTTCTTTTTGAAGCGCGACAACCCATTCACTTTTTAAAACTGACTAAATACAAGTTCGTTGTTTGTTTTCAGTCATTTAGAAGCATGCTATGCAACTTGTAGATCTTTTACTCTCTGGTACAGTTCCCAATTGTTTTCCCTTTCCGCAGGGAAAACATTGATTTTACGGCTCACTTCAAAGGCACCGTTAGGGCCTCCCTGACTCGCCATGCAATACACGGTATGTACATCAGGATCATCTACTGGTGATAATGTCAAGGTCACTCGGGACGTGAATCTGTTCGGATCTGACTTCCATACCTGCAAAGCGTAGATTATATATTACATATAGTCATAATGAAAAATGGATATGCAAACAGATTTCACAGTCATGAAATGCCCTATTACGATTTATAAAATTTGAAATACTCGTGCATGGAGCACATGTTAAATGTAAACTCGGTCCCACTCACAAGACAGTGCAGGTAACAGCGATACGAATACGCAAAATATTTCTGCCGTCCCTGGCTAAAAGGTAATAAGTAAGTCATTAACTTTTTGGTGATTTCTTTTTAAAAAGAAATCTCTGTTAAAGTCCCAATTATGCGGAGACGTTGTTATATCCGCTTCATGCAAATGCATTATGCTCAGACCTATCGCTTCAGAAAACCAACTAATTGATCCACACTCCCCGGACATACGGAAAGTAGAATTATAACTATTCAATTGACATGATCGGATCTGCGTTAAGCGTCTTGATGTCGCCCATTATGACCATGCTTGCTCTTGTTTTTGTCACCTGAGGTACAAAAGGATACGAACCTTGTACATGCCAGATTTTATAAGATCAGGTCCATATTCATCATACAACCGTAGAGACAGTTCCGGTTTCGGTTTTCCACGTGCCTTACACGATATTACAACAATCCTGCTGGCATTCTTCGCCACTCCTGTCTTCGTTTCATCAAATACTGCCGGACTAAGAACGACAACTTCTGTTGGTGCATCAATCGTTTGGTTTCCATTTGTTGCCCTGTAGTATAATGTACATTATTTTATCAGTAATTAGATATTTGGTTTCGATTAAGTTTAAGTGTGAATATTCACCGACCGATAAAATTGACATGCTCTTTATGTAAAAATTTAAAAAAACAACAACAACACAAAAAAAGAAAAGATGTTCCACTTTTTACATTATTTTGTATTGTATATCTATAAAGTCATTTTCTAAATTTATTGGCATCATCTTTTCGTCCATCAGCTTTCTGTGATAGAACAGATGAAAATTAATATACTGTTGTTGGTAATAAACAACCAATAGTCAATGACAAGCTCTCAAATATACACCGTGCAATAAAAAAATTGTGTATGACATGAACATGCGAATCTCTTTTTCCTTTGCCAAAATAAACATCATGTGCATAGATGACTCTTTAAAAAAAAAATTCCATTTTCTTTCCTTTGTGATGATTATAAAAAAACTCAATGTGCTACTATTTCTGTAAACAAAGTGATCCCTCGGAAGCCTTAATCACAATAAAATTACATGAACATTGCAGACTCAGTTTGATTGAGTCTGTACATAAGGAATAATGAATAAGTGCAACCTCCCTCACGCCCCTAGCACCGGCTTGAGCGGTACTCAATTCTCAACACTCAACAGTGCAAGTAGCATAGTTCATTAATAAATTTTAATCAGATGAAAACTTAATTTGCCAACGTCACACATTTCATCTAATTAAGATGGAAACAAACCTGCATATATAACGACCCTCTGTCTTCTTCGGTTGTCTAGCTGACATTGTCAGTACTTTCATGTTCATAAAGCTGTCTAGAATGACAGTTTCTGTTGGAATTTCATTTGTTTTGCCACCATTCACAAGGTGAAGAATAGTCACATTGGGTCGTGGATTCCCCATTGCCGCACAGATCATACTCTGAGTTGGTGGGAACACTATCGTTTGCCTTGCCAGTGGGAATATTCCTAATGTGTTGTCAGGCACAACATTTGTTGCACCAGGACCGTAGATTTTAATAAATGGTCCGTAGTATAACTCTTCAACCATTCCGGTCATTGAGTCACGGTAGGGCATGCGCACTGTAAGTATTCCGCCATATTGAACATACGGGTATCGCAGAGTAATATCCATATTAGACGTCGTCTCGGTGCGGCGTGACATGCTCAACCCTAGACCTTCTGAATTGAAGTTCATGATTTCAAAAATTGCCGGAGGACTTGCGCTGGTGTTAAGTCCAGTGAAGAAGACTTCTACAAATGCTAACTCATTGAAATCTCGAGCGTTTTTATTTACAATGGCCGTTATGTTCAAATCAGAGTCATGTGGCGCCATGTAACTACTGTTGACTTTAAGCAGACCGAGGGTTGGTGCTGTGACGTTCTGTTGCTGGGGCTTTTCTATTTCTGTTAGGTTGAATCTGACATTCACTGATTCTTCGTCATTGTACAAGCGAAAGAACATTTGGCGCATGGATCTCAGCTGTTCCACATTCACGGTAGACGTATATAAAGAGGATGCTGGGATAGTCTGCGTCCTTTTTCCAGCTGAAATAAATAAAGCACAATAAAAATTCAAACACTGAATCAGCATATCATGCTTTAAACAGAAAAGAAACAAATCATAACTATCACACGCTTATAGAAGGGTTTTTTGTTTATGTTTTAGAGAACTTAAAAACATGCATTGAAGTAATTTGATTGCGGTTTGTTATAAACATTCACGTTACCAACGTTTTTGCCACATTAAAATTTAACAATACTCTGGCTAATTATATGCAATTATCGAGATCGACGAAACCATGACCGTAAGAAAATAATAAATTTATTAGAGAAAGATGCAAATGCAACCGGAAAAATCATACCTCGCGCGAGATTTAAACTCGCGACCGCTGACTAACAGGCGTTCAAGAACAAGTTATATGTCCGAGACCTTGCTGTTTTCAGAGTTTCTCTTAATGGTAATCGAAGTCGGTTTGCGCTAATATATAATAATGACTTGTCAAAGAGAAAGTTCTTTTGACTAATAAATTACAAAAATAAGTATAGTTAATCAAACATTTATAATTAAATGTAAATATTACTTGTCCTCCACATTCCGCCATTTGTTCTCAGACCAATCCATTCTGTAGTGTGATCAGGGGTGGCAGCATATATTATGGTTACAGTAGTTGGGTCAGTGTTAACGCCGGACGATCTTATTGACATTACTTGTAGAGGTAAAGCAGGTTGGTATGGCAGACTTGGTTTAGAGACAGTGTTATTGTTAATCATGTAGGGTTTGTTTATCTGAAAAGGAGTAGCATACCCTTCACTAATGAATGATTCCAGTAAAATAAGTGTTGATTATTGAACTATAATGAAAACGTATAAAACCATATCTGAAAATACTTTGTAAACATTAAAGGAAGAAAACAACATAAATTTACATTGCTTTTATAACCGTGTGGTAAATTTTCGAAATAAAAGAGAATGTCTCTGTTATTAAACACAGGTGAATGTTGTATGAAAATCAGGAATAACATATTCCCCTTCTAATTCAAGTTGGGTTAGCCCGTTAAATTCATTTTTAATGTAATATACAAACAAATTTCTTTTATTTTATACATTCTGTAGCTACTATAATCATGCTAAAAACAATAATTTTGCAATTCAAATACCTCAACTACATAGCTTTATTCACTTTAAATGGGCGTAGGTAATGTTGCACTATATGTTATCCTTCATGAATAGACTATATCAAACCGTAAATATACGTGCACGCAGTGGTTACGAATGTACCTAATTTTACAGTTATAACTTTACCTAAAATTCAGTTGTTCTCATAGGATTTTTAAGGAATTGACATTGATTTGTGCTCATAAATCGCAATTTTATTTATTAATGATTATTAAATAATTGAGGTCACTAAATCGGTCAAAAAACCTTGTAATTCTATCGTAATTCTGTCGTAATTCTGTCGTTATAGTATCGTAATTAATTTCCACCTGTAATAATGAAACTGAATCAAACTGAATAAGCTGATATTATATCGAAATCAGTAAGCAAGGTACATTTTGTAAAAGGTTTACGGAAAAAAGTACTGGACGAAAGTAAATCAAAATAATTTTTAAAGATTTAAAAGATGAAACATCGCGTCTTTCAAAAGCAACAATTTCACAATTTAGGTGGAGAACACGAACATGAACAAATGTTTTTCGAAGTAATACGTGTAGTAAAAAGACTTACATTTGACTGTCCAGCACAATCACAAGTTGACATAGTTAATGCTTTACACATTTGCTGCATTCCAAACCATACCTGTATTTACAAATGTCTTTGTTATTAAACAATATTTAAGTGAAATACATAAAACGATGCTTTCATGTTAGGTCATCGGTAATTTTTTTTCATAAAGCTGTTATTAATTAACGGACAAATGGCTCAATGTTCAATTTTACAAACTTGATAAATAAACAATCAACTAAGATCATCATTAAATTTAGAACTCTGTATTGACACAATCATTTTTGCAAATATATTCAACGTCTTGAAAACTGTCTCCCTTATGATCTTTGAAAGTTTTGCTTAGTTGCCAGTACAATAGATTGTTATAAATAATAGGGCATATTGCAAACAAAAAGTCAAAGAAAACAACACATGTAACAATATTTTTGTGCCTTACGACATGTTCGTGAATGATGTGTTCTAATCATGCGATTAAAAAGGGACGTGGACAGTAGCTCCAGTGCCGCACATTGACAGACAATCAAATCTTAAGATGTTGCTGCATTTAGCGTCCATTAGGTTTGACATTTTGACTAAACATGTAGCTAATGTATGTAGAAGTATCTATGTCGCCTTATTAATTCTTACCTTCACATTGCCATCACGTAAAAGTATACGTACAAAATTATAATAGTACTCTTACCTGTTGTAATCTATTATTTTGTAACACAAGTCTTCTATTTTGTTCTAGAACAGTCTTAAGCATTGTTCTTAGCTCTTGTTCTTTACCAACCGCGTGGTTTTGACCTTGAGTTGGCTGTGCGTCGACATTGACCTTTAAATGGAAATAAAACGAATTACAAATAACATTACAAATGAAATTATAGCAATACTAGGCCTACATATTTTGATATCATTTCAAATAAATGTTGGTTTTGGAAAAAGACAAGCATGGTAATAAATATATAACCGAGCAAGCAAGCGACTGAACGAACGTACAAACAAAAAATATAACTAATAAATACAACACAGACAAGTAGTTGTAGTCAAAAAGCAAACATTCAAAATTTAAATCATAACGGACAGGCAGACTAAGAGATACAGCATCCTATAAAAATAGCCCACTCAATTTCATTTGTCCTAGGGAGGGTAATTTGTTAAGGCAAAAAAGCTGAATAACAAATATATTGATAGGATCAAGTTAAATTTCTTTACTCTAACTCATATCCCGTATAAATGGGTTTGTGCTGCTTTGACAGCTCATTGCTTTATGGTTGACAGATATCCTCAAAACGTGAAAGCATAAGTATTCAAAGTTAACGTTTTAATGGTTTGCTGGGTATGATAAAATAAATATTACATTCTGCAGTGCAATATGATAATTATGATATAGTTTATATAAGGGACTGACTTTGTTATGCACAAAAAGTATTGTCTTTAACTTTTTTATCCTTTTCCCTGGAAATATTGAGGTTGACATTAATGATATGTAGCAAACCTTTCATGTTGGACATTTATTCCAAAATACTTCTTAATAGCCACGGTATAAAATACATTATAAGAGAAATTATAGTCAAGTATGACAATTTTAAAGCGATTGGTACACACTATTCTGCAGTATATCACAATTTGATGCACCAGTAAAGAAATTAATTATCAAATTATCTTTTATGTCAATGCATTAACTCGTACTTTAGCATAACTGTGAAATCATTCTTACATAGAGAATGTAGTTGTATGACCGTACAATGGGCTTTTTTCTGGCAATTTCGACATTTAAGAAGTCATTCTTAAACTTTTATTTCCTCGAGCCATCAACATTTATGAAAGAAACGTGTCCTATATATTCAAGTTTTACAATAATTTGATGGCTTCTTATGGAAAAAAATCATTTGAAGCTTCTCCATGAAACGACATTTTTGTTACGTTTGTGATATTTCTTATTCTTTCTGTTTGATCATTTCATAGTTGGATGGTTCCATGTTTTAAATGTGTCTTGACGGTCTGTTATATTCTAGCTTATTAACCTTTGGTTCACAAAGAATTCTTAAACTAAGGGATCACACGCACGCTAACTTTTTGACACGAATTTGTCACAATTACCGCCGTATGAAGATCGAACGAGGATGTTTTTAATTCTAAAGATTTCGCAATAGATATGCTAAAATGATGCATTTTGTTTAGATCCGTGTCTGGTGACGGAAGTGGTCGGACAACAGTTTGCATTTGCCATTACCACTCATGAAGGGACTTTGCACCATTTTCAATAGATATTTAAGACAAAAAATATACGCTGGTAGTATTAACAGTCCCTTTTCATGTAATCTTACATACTTAGGTAGCTAAATATCAGCTCGATTCTGATTCTCACAAAATTTTTTGGCTATCACGAGGCATAGATTAAAATGTGTATTAAATTACACAAATCTAGCCAAATCTATTACGAGCAATAAACATTTATATTCTTAATTAGTTCAATAAGAACTTAAATAGTTTGTATCATGTTCTTAAGCATACGTCATTTTCTAGCTCAATAAACGTATGCTAGTTAATTTATGTTTAATCATTCAAGATCCTATTTTGAAATCTGCAAACGTTCCTGTAAACCGTTTTAAAAAAATACGAAAAGCAAAGCAAACGTTTTAAGCGTTAAGGCGTTAAGGTTTAACTCACAAATGAACTACAATTATGTTAATGACAATGATATAAATTTCACATCACATACTTTTTGTACGTCAATGTTGTCGGCACCTGTAAAAAGAGTCATTGTTCTGTTTCTAAATAATGTACAAAAAGGTCGTTCCTTTATCACAACTTTGAAACAAACTTGCGTTTATGGTGTAATACCTGATTGCCTGAAATTATTATAGAAGTCAAACTTAAACAAAATATAACTACACATTACACACCTTACACGTCTTATAACGTTTAAAGGTTATATGATTTATGTGTCATTGAATTAATTAAGACGCAACCAGGTCACAGGATTTGCAATTATGAATTTTGAATGAACAGTAATCACATCTATGCCAATTATTTGAACATTAATATATATAATAAGTTTAGTTTCATTCCGAAATTTCCAAAAGCGTGTCAACATACATATAATAGGTATAAAAATCAAAATAAATAAATGCTAGTTAATCAACTATATTGGGCTAGTATATACTTGTGTCTTGATTTTAAAAGAATGATTGCGCAAAGTGGCGTTCCATTAAAACAATGGTATATCAAGTTTGAAAAATATATAATACCAACTTCTACCTTAATTGAGTTATGTATGTAAAATTTTCCTTTTCCCATCAGATGCCAGGTGGAATGAATTACAGGGTTATCACATTAACATATAATGTTCATTTGTACTTAATCCAGATGAAAGAATCAATGGCTATTCGAATTGTGTAACGTTTTAACAATAGTACACTTACTGTGAGAGTATACTAAGAGTAAGATTGCATGTACAATCTGATATGAAAGATATAGTATTAAAAATGAAGTTCCTAAAAATAAATTATAGTGACTTCATACTTGAATAAGTTTCCCAAAGTTCACCCGTATATCCCATAATAAAGGAATGTGAAAAATAGCTCAGGAACTGTAAATAAGTAACGTAGAATTGTGCAAATCAAATCTTCCGCCGAAACGGGCAAACAGTAAACAATTGAACCAGTTTTTGTTAACGATTTGCACATATTCGGCGTAAGTGTTGTATAATTATTGTGTTACTAATATTTTGCACATTTTTGCGTTACTAGATTTACTAGCATATGACGTAGAATTTGTTCATGTTTTTCTTGTGTTTTTATTTTAATTTTTTTAATTTTATTTTTTATAATAATCATCAAATAATGTTATTATAATTAATTACCATAATCCCTTATCGGTCTTAGTGCTCGAGGGGGCAATGGGTTTGCCCACCTCTTTTCTGTATGTCTTTGGGCAACTTGATTGGTTTAGATGCCATTAAATAGTAAATCAACGCTATATCAATTTCGCATCTGCCAATATTCCGCCATAGTATTTACTGTAAAGTAAGACGCACATGCTAGTGACTCTCCAATTAATGTTAAACATCTCTAGCTCTGGTTTATTACAATTATTGTATTCACAGACGCAAATGTATATTTTCTATAAGATAAAAGTGATGTACTGTATATACAAAACGTTATCAAAATCTATTATGTATTTTTTCAGGTTTCATGTTCTGTAAGATCTACAAGGTCAAAAACACAAACTAGTGTTAGGCTTATATCATCCATGAACATAACACGGAATCAAATTATTGTAAATTCGAACAATTGATAAATAAAATACAAAAACAATAAAATTAAGAAATTTTGCCTGAAACGTGTATTACCATCAAATCATTTGAATGTACTAGTAATTTTCAGTTTATCAGCGTAACTAATTTTCACATATCAAGTGAAATATGACGTGATACTAAGCTATTATTTTCTTTCATTCAGAGAAGAAAAATGTCTGTACACAATCATAGTTTATTTCTTAAACAATTATAGTGGAATGTAGAACGAGTCAAACGGAATACTGCCCAATACCCACACGCCATGATAAATGCTTTGTCAAGTGTTAAGTATTTCTCAACACCCAACATTCTGGTATAATGTCAGAAGTTTATTCCATTTCGCGATGTCAATGAATTTACTTATTTTAGGTTGACGTTTACTTCATATATTGGAAAAAAACTTGTCAACAACTTAGAGCATAAAATAGCTATTTGCTTACATGTTAAGTTTCTAAGCGTAATTTAGACCAAAATACCGCATCTGTTCTGTGCATTCTTACTATTGTATTCGATATCCTGATCCGAAGACTAACGGAGAGGGCCGATAAGATGCCATTGGGAAAAATCTCGAATCCCCGTTAAGACAAGTCGCGTGCTTTGATAACGTCATTCTCTCCGCATTTTTGCATTAATTACGTGCTTAGAATGACGGCATTTCACCACATTAGAACGTAACGAGTACGGAACAGTTTACCGCTTAGCATATTATTTAAAAGTATTGGAATAATTTTCGCATCAATCCCATCTCCCTTCTCCAATGTACTTATTGTAGTAACTGAATATTTAAAATGACTGAAAATATCGCTTTATAATACTGTTTGCACACACCACATGTCATGTATTTGAAATTTGCAGTTACTCCGTAAATTCATATAAATTTCTATTGATTTGAGATAATAAAGTACTGTTCTGTTCTGTATTTTTTTATCTCATTTTCTCACCCGGACAATGAAATGAAAGACACTCTTACTTAAAATAGCTTGAAGTGCAGCGGCATCGTGATATTGCAACATTGGTGATTAGGACGTTATATCTTTACCGAAAGTTATTATATTGCTTGATGTTATTTAATTAGGGAGATAAACCCCTTTCTGTCCGTTCTGTGTCTGTTAAGAGCTGTTCGTAACATTAAAATATATGTCATCGCATAAATAATAAATTTGTATTTTTGATGAGGTATAATGGTATAAAGGCACTGTAAAGGTCATATGACGACTACCAGAGAAGCAAAATATATGTGCATTATTTAAAGCATTAGCGGGTGTTGGAGAAGAGTCATGATTAAACCTTTCGAAAATTAGCCGGGAATCTTCCTTAATGTCCCTGATAGGCTTTGATCGCACCACAGGGCAGACCAACAGGACTATACTTATTTCAATTATAATACCTAAGGTTTTACTTATTCATCTGTTTGGTTTTTTTTTTTTTTCAAAAAAAAAAAAAAAAACCCCAAAAAAAAAACTCCGAAAAGACAAAAATATGACAAAATTGATATGGTGGCAAGTTAGTTTAACAAAGTAATTTTTCCTGGTTTTGCATTCTTCAGTTGTTGCAACACATTTATTGTCTTTTTGACATTTAAAATGTTATTGCTGTTAGGTCGACAGTTGTAGAACGATGCATTTGTGCAGTGAATTATGTTAATATATGCATTGTGATTATTCAAATTCTAAGTTTGCTTTTATTTGGAAATTAAAAGTAAATGATAAATATTACTTTCACAGAAAAACGTCATTACTATTATTTATCTAAATAAAAGGTTATTAATTTATGCTGGAACTACAGCCCTGTACGCTACTTTTATAGGCCCATTATGCCTCAGAAATGCAATCATTTTTATAAATCAGAAACATTTTTAGTATTATTAAAGTATTATGTATTTAATGAATAACAAGAGCAATCACTTATCACATCACATGTGTCGCCTCATAATAGCCATTATATATTGCAGCTACGTGTAGCATGATACACAAAAATCATTTACAGGCCAAAACGCGTTTTGAGTCGCCTCTACAGAGTAGCGGCGACGACACATATGGATCTCTTCTGCATCGTCTTTATGTCCGTCTGTCTGTCTTTCCGTCGGTCACAAAACTTGTCCGGACTTCTCCTCAGAAACTGCTGGTACCGTTTCATCCAAACTTCACAGGAATGATCAGTACCAAGTCTAGTTGTGCATAGCGTCGGTATTTTTTGGGTCAATGATTTTTGTCAGAGTTATTGTCCTTTAATTTTTTTATTTTATATCTAGTAAAACTTTAATTTTCCCATATGTTTAAGTTACAGCAGAAATGCCAAAACTCCAATGCATTATTTATCTATTCTATGCTTTGATCACTTTGTTTCATATAAAAGCTTGTTTTTTTTTGTCTTTTTTTGTCTTTTTTTTTTGCTAAATTTTTAAATGTAACTTTTTTCAAGTTTAAAAGTTGCAAACAAACAAAACATGGCCAGGAGAAATAATAATTTTGTTCACTTGCTTTAAATGATATTCAATGATTAAACTGTTTAAATGTAGATTAATTTGTGATGTTTCCCCGTTTGGTCTGCGTCGCAATGTTGGTGGCCGAAAAATGAACTCGATGAATAACTGATTAATTGATTAGTTAATTGATATAATACAAGATCAAGTGTAATGTAACATGTATAACATGTTAATTTATTGCGTTCAAGGTCATGTTAGCAACACATCTCTCTACATGTTAATATGTCAATGATTTGTCAAGGAAAGTACTCTTATATTTAATATCTAGTATAAACTGACATTAATGCATGTAAAGCATTTGAAAATAGAACATACATTAGCAATATTTAGATCAAAGCGTCCATTCATGTCGCTCTTTCATCAGTTAATGTCTGTTCATAAATGAAAAGAATACAGAAAACGTGTCAATAACTGTCTGAATTAAACCAAATATGCTATGTATTTACAGTTCAAATATCTAAACAATAGACAATTATAAGTATTCTATTAGGCGAAGAAAAACTTAACTGTCTAATAACTGAAGCATTTATGGTAAGAAGACTGTACACAATGTAGACGTTACAGGCTACCTAACGTCGGACACCCATGGTTGAGGCCAATAAAGGTATTGAGCATGGACTATAGACACTAAAACATTATGATTGGGAATCACTCAATCTGACTTAAGTTCAGATCTACTCAATTTGTTTTTGCATGTAGTCTTAATAAGGAGCTGATTTCAATCAGACTGGGTAATCACCAAAGAATGGATCTAAAAGATTCATACGCAGACATATAGGTTAAAGAAAAGAAGGTTGGCCGGACAAAAGGTTGTTAATTGTTTGGGCGGGGGCGGAGGAGAGACGGTGCAGGTTGGTGGGTGAATATAACAACAGAAGTGAAAGAGAAACAAATACAATGATTATGTGATTTTATAATACGTTAACACTGGATAACACATACTCAAATGGTGAACATACAATATGTAAAATGCCCGACCATACATTATTCTGAAATGATAGCGTTAGGTTTCATTTACAAATGCTCAACTCAAGTAAATACGGCATAAATGCAGTTTTTATTTATTTACTTACTTGGATGAAAAGGGAAAGATTCCAAAAAAAAAATAGAACAAATTTTAAACATCTACAGAACTTATTTCATTTTAACACATTTTTTTTCCATAAACTTTTTTATTTTACGGGGTATAGAACATATTATGTATTTTTTAACTGTACTAGTTGTTTCAAAAATACATACTTTTACTTATGAGAAAAATAGCATGACTTTTGTTTAAGATATGTTTAGCTTGATTAAGTAGTATATGGATATTTATATTAACCCTTTACAGTGCGAACAATGTTCTGACTTGTTTTGCCAGCAGTATAGAGCCAGGACAGCCTGAATATCCCTGTAGTATTTCAAAGATTCATACTTTTGACCGCCCGCTAAATTGTATCATGTATTACGATATAGAAGTCCCTTAGATTTACAAAGGATAGCCCTAAAGTGAAAAAAGCTGGTTAAAACCTCAAAATAGTTTCACAAATTTCGCGATGCTTGATTGAAGATCGTAATGATGGCTATTATGAGATGGCAATGGACGTACAAAAAGTAAAATATGAACAAAATAGCAATGGTGACCTTTCTTTTGTAAATTTCTCATTCACTGAAACATGTAGAAATAAAAAAGGTGAAAGCGTTTAAATAAGGTGAATGGGTGACCTTTCAGATTCCACATCATTTTTGTACTAAACTGTCATAACATGACATCTCTGTGCTAAATTGCTTTTCAGCGTAATGAGTAAATTTGTAATAAATCTCTATATCTGGTTCAGTTGTTACGAATGTGTAATTTCCATAAAATGCACAAGTGTACCATACAGAGTTCATGGACAAAAAACAGATAAACCATGGAAACATAATAGGCAAGTCATGGACAAATAATAGACAAACGATGGAGAAAATCCATTTCTCCAATCGTTAATTTATAACGCACGTTCCGTCAAAAATATAATTAACTCCTCATTGTTTAAAAATAAGACGAGGAAATGTGGTTAACTCATTAATATTTTGACAGTCTGTGTGAAAATCGTGATATTGTTACTTCTAAATTCAGCATATTTACGACTTAATATGTGGGAAAGTTTGTTTTTCTGCATACGTACTCAAGATTATTTTTTCTCAAGTTTCTATTAACAAGCCAGGATATTTAGTATTAGATTATTTGATCGGAAAACTATGAAATTAAGTGTATACACAATTCCTAGTATACCAGGTATGATATCAATATTAAACAGGGAATTATTGAAGAGATTAATTTCCAAGCACCTAAATATGTTAAGAGCATAGAGTATATATAAACTGAGTAAATAAACTGCGCTTTATATGTTTATTGTCTATCCATAACAAAAATAGATATACTTGAATTAATGTATATGAGCTTACCTTAAAAATTTGTAGAACCAACACTATAGCTACTGCGGTTTTTAATACTCCCATTTTAGTTCAAAAATATCTTTCTAAAGTTTCTGAAAATAAATAAGTACTGAATTTATAAACTCCGCCGTCACTCTATTAAACTATAACCATCTTCTGACTTCCGTCACCTTACGCGCACTTGTGAAGAATGAACGCTAGAAATGCGTTCATTACGGTCGCCACGCAACAACGTTCTACCAAACAAAGACGCCTCGCCATTGATAATTACTACAGTAGTTAAAACGTATCATCGCTATAGTGCGATGTATTATTACCAATTAATATATAAGTAATAAAGTGTTTTAGATGATATCCCCGTGTCTTTTTGACATGCTAACCTTGTCACCCTTACCATTAAATGATAAAGCGCTTGTCAAAAATAATGTAGGTAAAAAAATGGAAGTGACTATTACAGCGCTCGCTAGATTGTTGTTCGCTAAACATTCATCGCGGGACATCAAGCCTTGATCAACGTGAATATTATATTAATTATTTGAGATTAAATAAGTCATTAATGATAATAAAAACTTAGTAAAACTATATTCCTGTTTATTTTTTACAGACAATAGATAAATATCATATCGTTATGAAGTCCAAGACTTTCATTTATTCTTTCATGGTGCTGAAGGTCGACCAGCAATAAGTAACTGATAATTTAAAAAGTCGGCGTTTTATTAAGATTTAAGTTATTTTTATATATCTTTTTCCCTTTCAATCTTATGAATTTCCTAGTAATATTACTGCCAACTATAGTTTTACGGTGTTTTATCATACAAGTTTCAATCTCTGTTACATGTACCAAAAACGAATTTAGGACCGAATACATCTTTAACTCTTAAATTATACAAATGAACACTTTAACAAATGGTTGATTTAACATTTTCGATTCTCATTTAATGTGTCATCTAAGAATCACTAAACTTTTATGATTAAACGTCATTTTCTCACAAACTAACAAAAAAAAAAATCTTACATAAACAAATAAAACTATGAATAAACAAATAAATGCTGAAATAAATGCTTAAATAAATGCTTAGATAAGACTTAGTGAATAAATAAATAAATAAATAAATAGATAAATAAATAAGTAAATAAATAAATAAATAAATAAATAAATAAATAAATAAATAAATAAATAAATATATAAATATATGAATAAATAAATATATGAATAAATAAGTAAATAAATATATAAATAAATAAATAAATAAATAAATAAATAAATAAATATATAAATAAATATATAAATAAATAAATAGATAACAAAAAAATAAATAAATAAATACATAAATAAATTAATAAATATATAGATAGATAAATAAATAAATAAAAATATAAATAAATAAATATATAAATAAATAAATAAATATATAAATAGATAAATAAATAAATAAATATATAAATAAATAAATAAATATATAAATAAATAAATAAATAAATATATAAATAAATAAATAAATAAATAAATCTAACTCAAACAAAGGAAACAAAACACACATGAAACAAACAAGCAAAAATTAAACAACCAAAAAAATAAAAAAATAAATAAATAAATTAATAAAATTAGCAGCAAAGTTACATCTGTCCGTGTCTTTGGATCTTAATAACTGCTTCGAATAAAGTCGAACTGTATAACACTAATTATTCGGAATTTGATGTGAACACTGCTTAATATATTCTTAGCAATCATCGAAAAAGATACCTTTTAATATTTTGATACATCTATAACTCATGTTTCTACCTTTCTGTTGATGAAAGTCGGTTTAAAGCCGAGTCCTGTGATATTTGTGACATGACGGTACTGTAACTATTTTCCCAATTTTAATACGTGTATATCATTTGATATAGGTCTTGACAAATATCTTGTTTTCATTCGAACACTCCGTTGTTCCAGAACGCTTATTTTCATTGTGAAACATACCCTTACAATCGTCATGATGAGCGTTTAAAATCTCAATTCAGACTAAGACACAAGCAAGAAAATATGATTTTAAATTTAGCTTAGTTTTGAGTAAAAGTCTCTATTGTCTATTGCATATGTTTCTGTTTATGTGCCCTAGTTGATTTATATAGGAAATTCAAATGTTATGAATTTAGGTTAATAATATGTTTTTGCATTTCCTTTAAAGCAGCATGCCTCCAGATTTATGCTAATTTTCATGAACATTTTGAAAATGTATTCAAAAGTAAAATACTGTGAAGTAAACAAAGAAAGTTATTTACACATTGCAAACGGCACTTACAATTCACGTAAATTACCAAAAAGTGGTCAAAATATGCATAAATACCTCTTACTGCGTTAGTAACGCAGTAGAATTATAGTGATTGATACTGCAAAATCAGTGCTTAATCACACATAACATGTAAATTATTAATTATATATTGAATAGTTTTAATTTCTTAAGATCTAATTACATTTTTCTAAAGATTGAATTTCTTGAAATATTTTGGCTTATCTGGAGGCGTGCAGCTTTAAGACAAATTTAAAACAACACTTTAACGGCTAATTTTAAAGATTCAGCCTTGCTAGTGTAGAAAGAGCCACAACAGGCGGACTGAAGGACCGGACAGCCCCTTCATAGCCCAGCTTGAAAAATTCCCGTATGACGCGAGCGGGATTTAAACACACAGTACAGAAAGATAATGCATTTAAAGCTAAATACGCTTCGTTGCCAAGTATAACGCGAGCGGGATTTAAACGGGTAGATAATGCATTTAAAGCTAAATACTTCAACCACTTGCCTAAATAAAGGAGAACTGTATATGGACCGTACACATGTAGACTTTTACATATATTTTCATTATTCTAAACACATACTACCAAAAGACAACAATGGGCAAAAATAGTGACATAAATCATGTAAGTTGTAAGTTAATGATATGATACAAAAAATCTTAAATGTCATTTTTACGTCGCTGTTATTGTATACGAAAAGTCGAAAGAGTATCTTCACAAAAAAGCATTAAGCTGTAATTAAAAATATATAAGTATATATCAAGTGATCCGTCAATATCACGGGCTTATTTTTTTCTAAGCCAATTTTCGGGGCTTCAAACACATGAAATGACATTTATAAGCGGTAAAACATGTTTCCCTTCACCTGTATCTACATAACTTGTCCAAAACAATAAAACTTACTGGTGCAGTCCATGTGTTATGAGAAAGTCACGTGATAGAGGTTAAGGTTAATGTAAAACGTGTGTAGTGTTTGCTATTGACATGCTATATTGACCTTTTTGAATTGATTATATGTCAGGGATATGTTATGTAAGTGATTTACAAATAATGAAATCAAGCGATAGTTAAATATCATAATATATGTATTTGCAAATGAGAGAAACATTCTTATTTCGCTCTGTCATTTTTTGAGAAGGGACACACGAGGAAATCATTTTAACTTCTATAGCTTAATTAAACATAATCATAGTAACGTTGGCGGCGCCTTTTTGCCACCGCATATTTTATATCCTATACATGGCCCCCAAAAGCGAAACAATAAGTTTGCAGTTTATTGGATGTTGGTATTAGACCGAGTTTTAAACAGTTGCTGTCATACTCGGCGGCCGATCGACCTTACCGGCCTTTTTGGATACTTACACGTTTCCTCCGCAACTGGCAGACTACTAATCCTACAAGATTTCTGAATCAGCGACGAGAGAAAACTACCATTATGTCTGAGATCTCACGCCACCCCCTATCACCAACTTAAACAGTATTCAACCTTTAACAAATCATGAAACGTGTTATTTTACTGATTGTATAGTTTGAATTAATTCAAAAAGCATATACATGTATAATGTATTCCCTACATTGATTCCGTTGATACGCTACAAGTAGGTTATTTAAAACAGAATATTAAATTTGTCATAATGTCAGTCATTATTATCACCGAAAAGACACACACATTATATAATATCGTGTATATCTTACACACACACAGACTTGTTGTGTAACACATTTGTGATGAAAGATCATTTGTCACTTGATTATTCAAATATTATTAGCTTTAAAAATGTTTGTTATTGCTGTTATTGTTTATTGTTATCGAGTGTGTGGTCAAAATGTTGTTTTTTTTGTTGTTGTTAGTTGCAAATACCGTAAAGTTCATAACGGTAACATTCCTGCTGAAGACCTCGTGTACTCCTTCGAATTCGAACACCATCTAACGACAAGGCACCTGAATAGAATCAAAGACGTTCCGTTGCCCAACTTCCTCAAATAAAATAATCCAAAGTCTTGGACAGTATTCGGACCCGCAGTAGTGAGGGGCAGTGGTTTGAAGTCAAAGACATTACCAATCGGCGAGGGATGCCCGTGGTAAGAAGTAAAAGCAAATTCGTATAGAAAATGTACATACACACAATCACACATTTCATCCTATAAGAAATGTGCTAGATATGCTTTATCATTTGTTTTAGATTTACTTTCTTTGAGTATCTATGTGTTATTGCTAAGCATATTATTTTTTCTTTCAAATACTAGTGGTCCTGGAGTCAAATATCTCTTTATTTTATTTGTTTAACATTTCTGTCTACTGCTACACAACCACGGGGGAGGAAGTGTTACACGAAGGATGAAGTTCTTATGATAACTTGTTTGGAGTTCTTATGATAACTGTCACGGAGTTCCTGGAAAACGTTACGGATTTCTGTGGAAAACTTTTCTATATACTTGGAGAACTCGCGTAAAAAATGGTTATTTTTAACTTTAAATGGGGAGTTTGAAGTGCTAAATTAAACATTGATAATTAAGCTTGCCCTACATATTGTATTATGTTTCAGAAAAAATCTTTTAGTCCATATTTTGTCGCCTTTTTTAAAAAAATCGGGTAGTTTTGAGAAAAATTTCCAAATTACTAGCTAATTCGTACATATTGACTTTTTCATTTGTGATCTTCTTCGTTGCTATACCTAATTACCTAATTATTATAGAGAGTTGCAAACATAAATCCCGGGCTAATAAATGTATACCCGATTTTTCAAATGTTACGGAGTTCTTGCGATAACTCAAAATATGTCCTGGAGTTCTTATGATAACTTTTGTTACTGCCAGTGTGTTTTTGTGCCTAATCACGGCACGTTTAAGCGTATTTTATTAGTAATAAGTGTGTAAATCATTATGAAGCATAATACGCTTATCATTTGCACAAAAATTTGGTTATATAACGTTGGTTTTTCAGTTCAAGAGATATTTTTCTTACTTCCGTTTCTTGTGTTTTTTTGTGTTTGTTTTGGTCTTTGTGTGTGTGTGTTTTGTTTTATTTTATTGGAATGACTGTAAACATACTTGATGAAGAGCATTTACTTACAGGATAAAAATACGCTTTGAATTTAATACTCAAGCATGATTTCGCCATATATACATTATTCCTGGCAGTTTTAGAGAACATTAAGTAACTATGCTATCGGTATGCATGTAAATGGTTTTCAGCAAAATAGGAGGTAGTATGCACTACTAAATTTAATGAGGTGGGTGTCGTGTTTATGTAATCAACGGGTATTTCAATTTCTAAAAGGTATCAGTTTTTGTCATAGAAACGTATAAAGTTCTATGACAATGATATGACGATAGAACGTAAGTCTTCAATAAGATATGTGAGTCACCGTAAGGTTCATGCCGTTTATCGACCTTGTTCCTTTCTCTATTAAATCCAATGTAGCATCACGTGACGTACAGCAATCTCCATATTTCGGAAAATTACTGCATACATTTTTCTTATCAAAGTTGGAGTCCTAGTTGTGGAAATTTTGCAACAACTTTTGCTGTAATTGATTACAAAAATATATTGTCGAACTTCTTTCGCTCGAACCCGTAGGGCACGTGCAAATCTGTCGAAGAGATCGGTAGTAATCGGTTGATTTTTTATGCATAAAAAGATCATACATTTCGGGTGCATGGGTGTGAAGGGTATCCCGGTTATATACGATACATGGTATATAATGATACAATTTACTTAGCCGCTTCTTGAGGGAAGCCCAACTACTTATTGTCTGCTTTAGAAAGGCGGTTGCTTAAACCATGTAACTGAGAAAAAAGTGTAAGTTTTAAACAATTTTTCCTTGGCGGTTTAAGCCATGTTACTGCTGAATACAGGTGACCGCTGATTCAGGTTTCCCTGAAGATTTTTGTTTGCTTGTTTGTTTCATTTTACGCCTTTTCCCAACAGTATTTCAGTCATATGGGCGGGTAGTTTCCTAACCATCGTTCCTGGAGAGTTACACCAGTAATAGACTACCGTCCTCTGTGCTAAACTACCAAGCATCTCCCGGGGATCGAACCCACGCCAGAGAGGTAACTGGATTAGAAGTCATCGACTCAAACCCCTCGGCCACGGAGGCGGTCCTTCCTGAAGATAGCTTAGCACCTGTTTATCCTATGTAGACTGTAAACCAAAGCAGTTTCATGTCTTCTCCAGATATATTGAATGATCGTGTTTTAATTTTGCCACATGGCCTCAATGTTGCATTTGCGGAAACTTATGACATAAAAATTTTGTTGACGAACAGTATACACAGAAACATTTAGTGCATTCGTTGGGTTTTATAATGTCAATATGATTTCGCACAACTTTAATTAGGAACTAAAACACGATCAAAACCAACGTTATATAACCAAATTTTTGTGCAAATGATAAGCGTATTGTGTTTCATAATGATTTACACATTTATTGACTAATAAAATACGCTTAAACGTGCCGCGATTAGGCACAAAAACACACTGGCAGTAACAAAAGTTATCATAAGAACTCCAGGACATATTTTGAGTTATCGCAAGAACTCCGTAACATTTGAAAAATCGGGTATACATTTATTAGCCCGGGCTTTATGTTTGCAACTCTCCACTATAATTAGGTGATTATGTATAGCAACGAAGAAGATCACAAATGAAAAGGTCAATATGTACGAATTAGCAAGTAATTTGGAAATTTTTCTCAAAACTACCCGATTTTTTTTTAAACGGCGACAAAATATGGACTAAAAGATTTTTTCTGAAACATAATACAATATGTAGGGCAAGCTTAATTATCAAAGTTTAATTTAGCACCTCAAACTCCCCATTTAAAGTTAAAAATAACCATTTTTTACGCGAGTTCTCCAAGTATATAGAAAAGTTTTCCACAGAAATCCGTAACGTTTTCCAGGAACTCCGTGACAGTTATCATAAGAACTCCAAACAAGTTATCATAAGAACTCCATCCTTCGTGTAACACTTCCTCCCCCGTGACAACGCTCGCTACGAAATATACTTTGACGCTTATACGCTACGAAAAGGACTTATTTGAGTTTTCTTTTACATGACAGGACTTGAAATATTTTACCGAGATTTGAGTACCAGTTGATGTAGATTCGGACTAATAATTTTGCGCAAATTTTCAAGTCACCTCACTTTTTCCAGAATAATCATTTTGTGCAAAATGACCCCCCCCCCCCCAAAAAAAAAAAAAAACAAAAAAAACAAAACAATGGAAAACTCAAATCCAGCTAATAATCGAACAAAAAAAAACCAATTTTCAGAAAATTTCTTTGTATCCTTTGCAGATATTTCCATTTTAAGTGCTTCACTTAAAATGTTCAAGATGTTCAAACTTTTACTAAATTCAGGCTTTTTGGACCTCAGTTGAGTTCCCTTTAAAGCCCTACCACAACGTCGATTAAAAGCACACGCTCCACCGTTTTTAAGAAAATAACATTATTCAATGAACATACCTGATTTCCGGAAAAGAAAAGTAGCGCTAGCATGTATTTAACAACAAAGGGATTAGAAGCTTATTGTTATATTGTCTATAAACATTACTCTATTATAATAATTAAACCAGGTTTTAAACACTTTATTAAGAGAACATCGTATTTCAATTTTATTCAACATCAGGCGGTTTACTCTATAATATTTCATAGCTCAAGTGATGTTAAATTGAAATATAAATTTCCCTGTCGGTTTTTGATAGTCACGATCAATTGTCTCTTTAACTTTGACTTATCTTATACAAGAATATATATTCACCCTAGAAATATTTGCAAAACACAATGCACTTGAATTAATTACAATATACATGAAATACGATGTTTTCATTTGTTGTAAAGTACATAATTTACGATGCTAACAAAAATATATGATTACAATGTACAGTGCGTAGCTTGGCCAGTAAGTAGTACATCCAGCCTATAACCGCTCTACAACAACAACAACAACAAACTATTCGTTTAAATAAAGTAAATAAAGCATAATATTTTCTTTGGACAATGAACGGACAATTTTTATTCAGTTTTTGCGGTGTTTTTTTGTTTGGGGGGGGGGGGTAATAGAGGGTTTGTTGAGTGTGTGTACTGGTTACAGACCTGGCTAAGCGCCGCCTATCTCTAATAAATATAACAGGAAATGTATTTTAAATGAAATATAGTTCTTGCCACTAGCTAGGGAACGGGTTACTTGTCATGCCCCCTTCCCACAAGTTAGAAATAGTACTGATTTTTTTGTGACAAGAAAATATAAAACTATGGAACGATTTAACCAACTTTTTATATCTTACTTAAAAAGCCTATACTTTTTGAGTAAAGGCGCTGACTATTAGGCTATATCGTTTATTTCCGATTAAAATGATATAAAATAACCAACATTTAGCGAAATAAATCAATTCACTGTTTATGCTTCTTTTTTTCGTTTTGAAGATTAAGTAATAGCACCGAAATACGAGGCTAACATTCCCGAGTGTTTTGGTGTTCTTTCTCTTTTGTATCATAGGCAAAAGTGAAAATACGTTCTCTATCGTCACGCTTTTAAACCCCAGAAGAAAGTTAACAATGCACGAGCATCAGAATATGACTTTTCTATCGTTATCTCTTTCCCTGTCGTCAAAAAAAAAACTCAGAAAAAAATGAGCCTATCAAGGAGCGTGCTCCAGACAGTGAGTGTAGATAACTAATACCAGTTGTATCATAGTCTGGGGACCTTTCTGTTGAAAATGCGCCAGAGTTAAATCGTATACATAAAGATGCACAATGCGTTAACTGGATTGCAGGTATTAGTTACCCGCACTCCAGAGCATGCCGAATGATTGGCTCATTTTTGCTGGGGTTTTCTTATTGATACGGCAGGGAAAAGAGAAGGGGAAAGCGACAGAAATATCAAATTCAGATTCTCGTTCATTGGATATATTTTTCAGGAGTTTCTCATTGTGACAACAGGGAACTTGTTTTTATATTTGACTATGATACAAAAGAGAAAGAACATCAAAACACTCGGCAATCTAATTGATACTCGGGCGCTACGCCCCCTCGTACCAATCAGATAGCCTCGTGTTTTAATGCTTTTTCTATTACTTAACGCCCTGTGCATGCATTGGTATAACATTTGACTGTGATACGTTTTCAATAGTAAAGTCTCCAAACTCTGATATAATATAACGATGTAGAGATTGTTTTTCCTTATATAAAGTATATAAAATTATTCTGCGACGTTTATTACAGTAATAGATATTAGTAAAAAAATCGTGAGTGATGGCCCGAAAACATGTAATCACAACAAAATTACGTGAAAAATTGCAGACTCGGTTTGACTTAGTCTGTATATGAGGAATAATCAAAAAGTGTAGCATCCCTCACGTCCCCTGTCACCGGCTGAGCGGTACTCAATTTTTTAACAGTCAAAAGTGCTGGAATCAATGATCCCGAAGGAAATATAACAACACAAAAGTGAAGTACGGGGCAAATTTTGCAGCTGCCACACAGCACTTGTCACTTAAAATTATTTGTGTAACAATTACTTAAACACTTCATGCCTTATTATCTTGATATTTGTTTTCATAGTTTGTCATGTCCACTCTGCAATGATAACCTGTCACTTTTACTCGTATTCAGTACATTATTTTATGCATGAAAGGTAAAAAAGTAGAAGCAATTTTGTGTGCATGAAAGGCCTTCCAACCTATTTATCACTAATGAACTGATAAATGTGGAGCCACAAGAGTCTGTCACTTTACAGATTAGTCCCCGTTTTTAACAACAGTACGAACTTTAATATATACTATAAATAGATTGAATATAAATGACTGACGATCGGTATACCATACATACATGTAATATAGTTTAATTCCATTATAAAAAGGTTTCGGATATTTGTAATACAACAAACCTTAAAGCTCAAGCTAATTTTCATATAAATAAGTTGTATAAGATTTCATTTGAAACAAAATATATTAATACATGTACAGTGAAGGCCCATAATGCCTCAGAAACTTTCATTTTTATTTCTCAAAAGCTTTTTCTTTTATGATATTAAACAAGTTACTCATTGGCCAATTACTGGAAACATTTTTTTAACTGTGTTTTTGGTTATAAAGAATACGTTAGATTACACTATTGAATCAGGATGTGTACTGGTAGTATGATTGTAATGCCACAATACTGTTTGTTGCTCCCTATCAATATACGTTTTTAGAAGTCTTGAGCCTCTGAAACGCGCTGATAGAGATCCCAATTGTTTTCTCGTCCTTCAGGGAAAATTCTGATCTTTTTGCTTATTATAAAATGTCTTCTTTCACCGCCCTGTGCCGCAAAGCAATAAACCGTATGCACATCAGTATCATTTGAAGCAGATAATGTAAGGGTTATTCGGGATGAGTACTTGCCGGATTCAGACTTCCCAAACTGCAAAAGTATAAATTCATATACCAAACTACAAAAGTATAAATTCATATATGAAAACACCCGCCAGTTGCTAGTTATTTATCGTGATTAATACATAATCTTGACAGTCGTGACAACCATAATTGGTAGGCGTATTCTAATCAAAATCAAAGTAACATGGTTTAAAGGTTCATTAGGCCCAACAATACTTTTATTAATGAATTATTATCGCACAGGTCCAGTTTCCCAAATGGTACCTTTTGGTCATAAGCTAAATTTGTCAACAAAGAAGGGTGTTATTCAATGGATGCATCCCCAAAATACCCCAGCAATACCGGCAAGGATCCCAGAAAGACACCAAACAAAAACAGGAGAGAGCGCAAGGGCAACAATCTTTTTATTCTGTCCATGTTTGCAATCATTTGAATAATTTGTATTTAGTATTTTTTTTTGGAAGCCAGAATTTAATTTGTTGACGTTTTATTAAGAAAACCATTTCTTAGCAATACTGAGTACAGGAATATAGATGTCAAAATGTTTAAATCAGCTCCTAAATATTAACTTAAGGATATTTCAACTTAATCAGAATGCGTCTCGAATTCCTCTATATCAAAATGTTACATTAACTCAGTCGTCTCCAGGACTTATAGTTTTGGAGGTTTATATGTAGTAAATGTGCAGATAGTGCTGTTTGATATCATTAAAATTGAAGAGGGGCGACATATTAAAACACATACATTTGTATATAAAAAGCAGTCCAAAGTAACCTCTTTGTAGATATATAATGTGCATTACCTTGAACAATCCAGATCTTATCATAAAAGGGCCCTGTTTATCATACAGACGGAAGTCAAGTTCTGGTCTAGGCTTTCCTTTGGCCTTGCAAGAAACAACGATGGTGTTACTCGAATTTTTCAATACACCGGTCTTGGTTTCGTCGATCACAGCTTTTTTGATGATAACAACGTCAGTTTCTGATTCCACTACTTTATTACCATTCGATGCACTTTTTGAAAACAAAAGTTTTGTGTCAAACAAAGTGTCGTAAAAGCTAACATTTTATCAATAATAATTCACATTCAACTTCTTTTTTAATTTGTTCATGTATTATTCACATTTATTTTTTGGCAGTTGAGTTTGCACAGTAAGCATACACGTTATAAATTTGACAAATAACAAAATAAAATTGTTAAGCCAAGTTTGAATTATTCTTGTTAAGTAATGGCAAAATGTAATGACGTCATGGCGTTATAGTTGTTTTAAAAGCATTTAATGTAATGACAAGATTACAAGTATGTGTACTTAACTGAAATACCTGCAAATATAACGACCCTCGTGTGTCCGTTGATTTGCTGACAAAGTTAGTACTTCCACGGTTGAATAGCTGTTTGAAAAGACTGTTTCTGTAACAAGTTTCTTATAACCACCATTTTTATCGATTTTGAATATTGAAGCGTTAGGACGTGGGTTTCCAATTGTAAGGCACATGATGGTACTAGATGGCGGGAAAATAATTGTCTGCTTTTGCAGAGGAAACGTTCCAACAACATTGTATGGTAGAACGTCTTTTGTGCCATAAGCAAAGATTTTTACACGATAACCGCTTGAATACACGTCGACCATCCTGTCCTTTGAAGATTCCATATAAGGGACGCGGATCGTCAGAAAGCCGCCGTATTTGATAACAGAATGACCGATTGTTATATGGTAATTTGTTGTTTCATTTGTTCTTTTCGTTAAGTTAACATTTATTTCATCCGAGTTAAAACTGGATTTTTCAAAAAATATAGGTGGGTTTGAACTTGTGTTAAGGCCTTCAAAAACGTCAACAATCGTAGAGGAGTCACCGATAAATGACATATTTAACTTTATAACCCCTGTTATTGTCAAACTAGAATTTTGTGGTGCCATGTAACTTGTGTTCATTTCAATAAGTTTTGAATGTGGTTGTGTTATGGTCTGTTCTTGGGATGTTTCTGCAGCGGTGGTATTTAGTACTATAGATATGACATGTTTTTCGTTAGACAATCGGAAGTAAATAGTACGAAACGAGGTAACATTCATCACATCAACCGTTGAAGTATATATCTCACTTCCTGGCGTAGACTGTGTCTTTGTTCCACCTGTAATTGTTCGTACAAAATTTTCGTCACTATTTTTGATTTCACTTTTTTATGTACTGTTTGTCTAATTACTGATCTGTTTCTTTTATTTTTATTTTTAATCTTAAGTTTAATATTTCAATATATAAGCACCCAGTGAATGTGAAAATTTAAAATGTGAATGTTAATATAAAAAACGAAGGGCAGCGATGCGCCACATGACGGGATAAAGGCACCCAGTGGAACACAGAGCATGATAATTGCATGTAACATGCCATTGCATTAGAAAAGGGCACTCAATAAATGTATTGAGCAAGGAGCGGTTTAATTATTTCAAACCAAATGACAAGCTTTACCGTTTCTCCATGTTCTACCATCATCTACCAGACCAATCCAGTATACGTTATGCTCGGGGAAGCGACATAGGTAATGCTTATATTAGTTACAATTGACGTTAGTCCGGTTGACTTGATTGACAACACCTCAAGTGGTAATGTTGCATTTGCTGGAGTACATTCGTACTGATTTTCATTTGTTTCGGGCGCATATGATTTGTTACCCTGGAAAAAGATGCGCATTTTGTTTATTTATAGACATCATTAAAACCTGAAAATATGTACCCATTGAACATATACATGTACATTTCACACTGAACTGTAAAGGTGTTGAATTGAAAAGAACATAGCGTTTATTTAGATATTGAAGTTGTGATTTATTATAGTTGTAAAAAAATTATAATGATTTTGATAATTTTTTTTTAAAGATTACTGTATTCCATGCAATACTAACATAAATAGGATATTTATAAGCGATATATGTGGTAATTCAAAAATACTAACGGAAGCGCAACCAGAGCCACTAACATTCCAAGACGGATAACAGTTGTGTTTCTTGTGACAATGAATGTGTAGATCTATAATAAATATTGTTAATAATTTAAGTCGTTAAGATACATACACTTAAGGTCATGTTACTGCACTGGTCACAGTCGCGTACAGGCAACGCTAAAGCTTTACACATTTGCTGCATACCAAACCATACCTGAAATTGCCAAGGAATATTAAAATAAAAAATGACATGTAGTAAAACAAAGGTTTACGACAAATAGCGTTATTTAAATGATTGACGTACAGAACTGCAAAGTATCCCACAAAATACACAGAAAAAGACTAAAGTACAAGATAAACAAAATCAATACAAAAAAAGGAAAAGAAAAGAAAAGAAAGATAATTTTCATTACTTGCTGAAGCCTGTTATTCTGCAAAACAAGTTTCCTGTTTTGCTCCATAACAGTGTTAAGCATATCTCTCAATTCTTGTTCATTTCCGGTCAGACTATTTCGGCTACTGTTATATTGACTAGCTCCATATACCTACAAAAATAAATTCATTTTTTACACGTGAAATTAGTATTTACTGTTCTTACATTTGTTTAAAAGATGGAATATCCAAGTTAATGCGTTTAAAATACCGTGACAGTATACTACAGAAAAGTAAACGTTTTATATGATAGCACAATGTGGAATAACTGACACAAGTAAATGCATGCTATCCCAGCACTGACTTTAGTTTTATTTAACACAAAGGACATGATTGAAAATAAAATGTACATAAAAACAACAAAGTAACATTAAATTTTAATGTGTAGAAAGAGCATCGACACACGAGGATATCTGATATATACGAGGGGGCATAGCACCCGAAGGTATATCCTATTGCCGAGTGTGTCGATGCTCTTTCTATTACTTATAACGAGCATGCTCAATTTTAATCCCCAAGAGACAGTGCTGAAACTGGAATGCGGATAACTAATAGTATGCGCTCCAGTTAACGCACTGTATATGTATGGGTATACGACAATGCCAATATCACACTATGATACAGATGCGATTATGCACGTAAGTTAAAGTTGGTCTGATACATTTATAATATAATTATTACTTAAATGTGTACAGTCACGTATAAATCTACAAATTCTCTGTAATAATAATTGCTTGAATTATGATAAAAACAACAACAAAAGCAACAAAAAAAAAAGAAAAAAAAAGAAAAAAGAAATATATTAATATCATAATTCTTTGATAGTAAATGAGGCGTATATTAAGGCATTACAAAGCAGTTAAAACTACTCCAAATAGCAGTCTGTTCACGTGTAATTGTCTGGTGAAATAACAGACAAATTTGGTTTCCAACCTTTCAAGGATCGACCATAAGATTATAGAAACAACTTAATATTACCATTATAATACAAAAGTATATTTCATCCCTTTAAATAAGTTAATCACTAATCAGCCATGTGACGGTCTTGTTTGTGTTATAATTTGAAATAACAGACCCAGTTAAATGAAGCATATTTGCCACAATTGTTACTCCCCACCCACCATACATACTGAGCCCACATTCACGGTTTGATTAGGAAGTGAATAAGAAAATACATTTTTGATTAAATGCTGAATGCTTCCATAAAATCATACCATAGAAAAGCATGTGTTGATAATTTTTTTCATCCATGTAACGGTTTGCGCGCTGTCCATGTACCATTGTTTTCTTCCTTTCTATTTAGCCTTTTTGACTTGCTTACTTTAGTTACTTTGTCTCGACTTAAAATGTATTTTGTCTAACTTTGCTCACTTGATAATAGTTCTAAAGGTCTTTCTGAACATAAATGTGCTGTTTTAAATGTACATGCCTTTGCTCAATTATAACTAACTAATACTGCTCAATTAAATTGCAATGAGATTATTAGTGTTGTATTATCATACACGATGGACTTGGACTGACCCTTTATATAATGCTTGTTTGCGCATGCTCAGTATTTCTAATAAATATCTAACATCACTTGTTAAGGCTTTTCACAGAATGATTTGATATCGTTGCTAAAACATTTGCTAAAATAATGATATTTTGAATTTTGAAATCATCCATTGATTAATTAAAACAATAACTTCTTGATATAGACTTTAATAATTCCGTGTTAAGCAGATATTTTACAGCCTCCGAACAAAGTGACTACAGAGGTACAATCTTGACACTGGATCTCAAATTTTAGCGGATGTGGATGCGAAACCATATCCATTTTGAAAATTAAATTTTTACATATGATGTGCCCAAGTTCTCTTTGTGGACATTCCTTCATGTGAGGAAGTTTTCGAGCTAGTTAGCGGGACGTCGGTGGCTCTACTGAGATGCCGGTTCGTGTGGAGAGGCACCTGAAGTCTTCCTCTACCAGTAAAAATGGGAAATCGTACAGAGAGTATTCGACTAACATAAATAAAATAGATGTGTGTACATACAAATTGGTCATAAAATAGCATCAGAGATACTGCATGTCATTTTTTCGTAGCACTATTTAATTGATAGCAAAAGATCATATTTTTCTAAAAAAACGAATGCATTATATAAATTGATTTTACTTAGTCCCCTGATATTAATGTCTAAAACTCACCTCAAAGATGTGTAAAATAAACACAACTGCGAACAATATATTTAAAGACTCCATTCGAATACACTTTATACAACCTTCACAACTGAAAACATATCAAATATTCTTTTTACCACAGAGGAGAGCAAGTATGTGGACGGATAAATAACAAGCTATCATATTCTACTTAACAATTAAGACAATTATTTCCATCGCGTACACAATGTAAGCTGTACTTAAGCGTTATGCTCTTAAAATAATTATACTTAAGCCCTTCATATAGAGGTCTTTCAAAGGTTAGGTGGACAAAAACTTACTTCTGTTTAAGTAGAATACTAGAACCTAAATGATGCTTATAGGCATACTGGCAGTTAGCTTTATAAGTGTTTGAGTATTGTTTATTTGATATGAAATAAAATATGTGAGCTATAGTTGTAGTGTCAGCCTTGAACAACTTATTCTTAGTGATTTAGCTTAACCACTACTTGACAATGTTTAATTAAGACCTTCTCTACTTGGCTTTTTTCAGCCGTTCTTCATTTACAGCTTTTGATGAAGGTGTAGGTGACCTTTTCGTTGAGAAATTGTAGTAATTAAAATGTTTTCATATAAAATTACATCAGTTTCGACATTTTGATTCATTAATATTTCGACTCAGCTAAGTAAATTATTTTAATCTATATTTTTTAATAAATAGTGTATGGCTCAAATCACAAAACATTTTCTGGTAAACATGGTATCATGCTGACATCTGATACATTGGTAACTGGGTTACTCTGAGAATAAATCGTTGAAAAATTACGGTCTTTCTTCGTGCCACTGTCACAATAAAATCAGTTAGCTTCTCATATTAAAAGTTGCATCTTTGGAAGAAGGTTCCATGATAGGCGCCGTAATTAATTTTGAATTCTGCTTAAGCAGGTGGTAGGGTGCGTGGACGGTAACTTGCATTTTCCAGTATAGTTCATGAACAGGCTCAATCAAACCAAGCCTGCAGCATTTTTCAATTTTGTCGTTTTAAGCGGTATTTAGGGATTCTTTTTTTCTATTTAATAAAGCACGTAAGTGATTGCAATTTAAGGAAATTTACTCTGACATTGCTTTATTCTAATTTGCTCTTAATGAAAACCAAAGATAACTTTAACATGTTGTTTGTATCTATTGTACTGTTACAGTACACTTACCGTTACGTTAGAGTACATTTGTATTTAAACATGGAAACATGTTATATGAAATAATATTTGTTTAAATATTTTAAAATGCATCGTTTGACTTAAATAGACATTAAAAAAATAGCACCGCTACATTTTGAATGACCCTTTTTTCTCATTTTGTTCCACCGCATTATACAAATTACTTAACATGAAGCTTTATGCCTATTTTTGCGTTTATACTTAAAAAGGTTAAGAATAAACCTTTCGAAAAAAAGAAAAGGGTTCGATTAAATGTTATCAATCTTTAGGAATGTTTTAACAGGACATTTCGTCAGAAAAAAAAACTGCCGCAAAATGTCACCGCATAACGGAAATGAACTACATAATAAATTATTGCTTCTTGCGAAAGAAGACAATATATTTTGAAGGGAATTTGTTCGTTTATATCAATACTTTTCCCGTTATCCACCTTTCTGCTCTGTAATAATATATATAGCAGAAAACATAAACAGTGTTACGGCTAATACATAAACTGAATGTCTTCTGAAGGTTTATATAGGAAGAAGAAATATATACGAGTACATCTGCATAACGTTGCTTAAAAAGTTTATATCTGCATATTTAAACGTTAAATGTTATATAGTTGGATAATAAGGATTAAGTTTATTTTGTATGTAAGATCGAAATATCTTTCAAAAAGTGAACATCAGACTGATGTAATATTTCACGCGTGGAGTAACCACGAAGAAAAGTATGAGTTTGTGTTCACAAGTGAAATATAATTTGCTCTTACATACAAAGCAAAAGTTTCTTTTAGGTTCATGCTTTAAAGTGGTTTCCAATAATTTTTTAACCAATTTTTGCCGTGTAACGACAAATGTTTTCAATCATGACGTCATTAAGTCATGTTGTTGAAAACGTTGTACAATTTTACAAAATTCGTTACGTTTTTATATGATAGGTGCAGATGTTTACGCGCCTTTTTTCATCAACCTCAGCCATAATGGGCATTAGAATGTGATATAAATAAATAAAGAAACATATTCATGTAAAAATATTTTAAACACAACTTAGTGACCTAACCTTTAGAAGTTTTTCGTCCTCAAAAGACTTTTGCAAGAGGTGTTGAACTTTCCAAAGTTATTGATACTGAGTCTGAGATACATTTAAACAATAGAATAAGTATAGTTTTATAGTTGCATTGGTCCCCCTTTTTCATAATACTTCAATCCATCGTTGCGTCTTTTCTTTTCATTTGATATTTTTCTCTGTAGATATCGATTGTTTACCAAGCCTGAACTCTCACAACTAAACTCTTGAAATAAACAATATCACAAGATGACTTGTTTTCTTTGTGTTCTGCTTTGTGACTTGTTGGTAGTCTTGAGTTGATGTGTTTTGCTCGGGACAGCTTTCTGAGAATTTTGTTGATATAAAAATATAGTAAAAATACAGCAACGTTTCTATCATATCAAATGTAATGAATAGTATCCTCAAACATTGACCAAATAATTCAACAGATGCAAGAGCAAAGTGAACACTTATTTAAAACTTGTTGCTGTTCATGAAATATTTAAAGAAAAAATAATAATGTGTCGCGAAACAATAAAATAGTACCAAACAGCGCTTTTTAATGAGATTGATTTATAAAAATTCATTCATTCTTTCTATGCGCTCATAAAGGTCCCAGTTGTATGTCTTTTGACCATAAGGAAACAGATCAATTTTAACATGTTTATGATTTCCACCCATTTGACTTGCAACACAGTATATCGTGTGGAAATCTTGACCGTCCTCGGCTGCAAGCGTAAGTGATACCCGAGATACAAATACGTCTTCCTTCCATACCTAAAATAGAGATATCAATAGCACATTTAAGCATCTACATTAAAACAAAATCAAAATAGTTAATGACTGTTATCGACATCAAGTAAGGCATGACATGAATTGTTGTACAACTAAACATATAACATAACTTAGTGTTGAGAATTGAGAACCACTCAAGCCGGTGCTAGCGGGCGTGACGGATGTTGCACTTCTAGATTATATCCCCCATGTACAGACTCAGACTGTGTCTGCAAATGTTATGTAATTTTGCTGTTTTAAATGCTTCAGTGGGAAGATAGTTTTATTCAGCGTATATCGTATTTTTCGCAAACCTTGTACTCTCCAGCGTTGATTAAACTTGGACCATAGTCACTGTACAAACGAAGAGATAATTCTGGTTTTGGTTTTCCAGTAGCCATACACGACAGCTTGATAACATTACTGTCGTTTTGTACAACGCCTGTGTAGGTATCATTAAAAACAACATCTTCGTTAGCTATCACTTGTGTCTCTGATTCAACCGTCTTGTTGCCATTTGTAGCCCTATAATGAAAATAGTTAAATGCCTTTATGATTGAAATTGATAATAACTTTTTTGGAAGATTAGAAATCAAAAAGAAAAATATGTGAGCTGTTTCAAACAAATAATCTTTATAAAGTGATCAGAATATGATACACTATAGCAAATATATCGTGTATGTGTTATATTTCTGTAATACCCAGAATTATCCTTATTTTGAACAGAAATGGCTATTTCACCATGATCTTGAATGATTTCATATTTAAAGGGTTTATGTTACTGACTTACTGATATTATGCTCATTGTTTCATTGTCGAGCTCAACTGGAACGATTATATATTTTAAAAGATTGACTGTTGTTATGTTGATGTAACAACAGTAAATAATTGGAATATGTTAACGATAAAATATAAATCTGCCTAAAATATAAAAAAAGTATTCCCCACTCTTTTTATTAATTGAATGTTACAGGTAACTTCCGTGAATATTTATAGAAATTTCCTTGAGCCACATGGGTTATCAATTATTCGTGTGAAGTGAATTATAAAATTGATTATTATGGTAAAATTACTTTATACCCTTAGATTGGCATAATGTAACCTTAAAATGTTTGTTATAACTGACGGTTAGTGGCTTATATTATATACAAAATGTTTCAAAACTGTTCTCCCGTTATTATGATATAAAAAATAAACATTTATTGATGTACCTGCAGACGTAAAGACCTTCAATATATCCTGACGCATCCCAATTTAATGTCAATACTTTCATCTCCATGTTATTAACACGAGTAATTAACTCAGTTTTTGTTTCAATTTCATTGCGTTCCGGGCCATTTATTACCTTTACAATTGTGACATTTGGATGCGGGTTTCCCATTGCTGCACACATTAGTGTTGATGATGGAGCGGAAATAACAGTTTGCTTAGGCAATGGAAACACGCCCAAAGTATTATTGTATACAATGTCGTCGGTCCCTACTGCTTGTATCTGAATAATGGGACCATGGTATAGGTCTTGAAGCATTCCTGTCATAGGAGACCAAAATCGAACTGTTAGAATACCTCCATATTTTGCAATCATCTGCTTGACAATTATTTCCATATTTGTAGTGTTAGCTGATGTAGCAGACATATTTACTGCAATCAGATCTGAATTAAAGCTAAAAATCTCAAATATTTCAGATGAATTATCATTTACTCCTGTAAAATAAATTTCAAATGTAGGAAAGTCTTTTAAAAATAATACGTTTTCATAAACAGTTGTTGAAATACTGAAATCGGTATCATTCGTTGCCTGAAAGCGCTTGTCTACAGTTATTAATATCTCCGTCGGTTGCATGACTATTTGTTCTCGATCTACAGTGACTGCTATTTCTGTAAGGTTGAAACGTATACTTAGATTCTCCTCTTCATTGTAAAGGAATAATATTAAATCTCTTAATTTTTTAAGCTCTCCTATCTCAACAGATGAGTCGAACATCGTTCCATCAGAAGTGTTTCTGCTTCCAGCTAAATGTATAAGAAAATACCACTGTATTGTTAAGTATCATTATTATGTAATAAATACGTACCAATATGAACATTGGCTTAACTTCTTTCCTAAAAAGTTTCTTTGTTTTCTTTTCTAAAAACCAAAAAAGAAAACTTCTAATGCATTTGCATAATTCATTCCTTTGTTGTTACCTAAACATCGACTTCCTTTTTATGATTGATATTTTGTTATGATACTTCATTTTACAAATTCATCCATTAAAACATTGTTTGACATAAGACGATTATATCTATATACCTGTTCTCCATACGCCACCATTTTCTCTCAGGCCAACCCATTCTGTCACATGATCCAATGTCGACATGTAGCTGACGGACATCATGGTCATATGCCCGTTATATACATTTGACCTTACAGTCTGGATTTGTAAAGATACATCTGCATTTCTCGGCTTACTTGATTGCCGTACTGAATTGGTGAAAGTAAATGGTGCTGCATACTAAAAGGAAATGAAGAAAATGCTCTTAAATGGACATGCTAAATTTACAATCTGCCATATCAAGATTCTTATCTAAAACTTATTGCTATCTTTAAACGCTTCAATTTATTTCTCACATTTTTAAATTATGGAAGCTGCGTAAAATATTTCGCAGTTTACGTTAACAATTGTTGCTTCAACGTCAATAAATAAATGATAAATAAATAAATGAATATTCCGTTGTTTGGGTTTAACGGCGGCATTGACACATTATATGTCATACCGCGTCCAACACTACACTAAGTAGGCCTAAAAGAGTTGGTACAAGTGAGTAAGTTCAATACAAATTTACGTTTTTTCGGTAGTCGATGAGAGTGGATGGATCTAATGCAAAACGTTCTCTAAATGAATTGCCTTAATACAATATATTACGAACATGTGCACGATCATGGCATTCAAGAAAGAAATGTTTTAACAGTAATAAATTCCTTGCAAGATATACGAAATGGAACATTGTCTCCTGTTAAAAGGTAAGAATGTCTAACTTAAGTACCTAAAAAAATCAACTTGACCATGACGGTTAAGGAGGGAAAGAGGAGGTGATATCTAAAGACAAGATAAGCCTTAGTGTAGATATCATGAAGTCTGTTAATTATAGTTTTGTCCCAATAAAATAAATGCATAAATATTTTGTTTGTTTGTTTGTTTGTTTCATTTTACGCCTTTTCCCAACAGTATTTCAATCATATAGGCGGGTAGTTTCCTAACCATCGTTCCTGGAGAAATACATAAATAAAATTGTTAAAATCACAATTTATGCTTCAGGTAGATATTCTAAAATTTAATACTTTGAAAATAAATAAACATTAACATAAATATTTTATTATTCAGATAAAGATGTAAATCAGATATATTTTTGATCATTAAAATGATTTGTAATATCTATTTAAAGTGAGAAAAACGCTTACATCTAACGAAGATGCTGCCTTTGTATCACATTCACAGGACAGCATGTTAACAGATTCACATATGTTCTGCATATCTTCCCATACCTTTATTAAATTAACAATATAAAAGCATATATAGCAATTGTATAAGATAAATAAATTTAAATAATGTCTAAGTGAAATTTAAAAAGTGAGATTGCATTTGCTGAAAATATATTTATATGACATATATTATTGGTCAAAAATATCATGAATGCCTTAATTTATTAAAAGCGTTAAAAAGGACAAGATGTTTTAATTGAATGTGAATACAGATATTTAAAAATATGACTATTTGGAAGATTAGTTTAATGCTTGAATAAGACAATAAATGGCAGATACCTTGCGCAGTTGTTTGTTTTTAAGGGTGAGTCGTCTGTTTTGTTCCATCAATGTTTGTATCATAATCCGAACATACTGTTCATCTGCTACTTTTATCCTTTGGTCTTTGACATGTTTTCCACTGATTTGAACCTACATGTATATATGAAAAGTTATAAACTTGATAAAACCTATTAGACATAATCATTCATTTAATGCGTGTTGTGTTACATAATTTGATAAAAATATTTTTTTTTAATATGCAATATATTATGTCCTAAAATATTTATGGAGCAATAAAATATCATATGAAATTATATATAGTAATCGAAATAAAATAATTGTTCAATAAAAATTTATGTTCTAAAAATATTAAATGGCGTAAAAATATAATTATATAGGCTATAAATATATATATATTAAGTAATTCTTGTTTCATTTTAATACATGTGCCATCATCAAATATATTTTATAACAGTCATGCTTTTTATTGAACAGTGAAAATATATTTTGATGATTTCACTATCATGATAAATTTAAATGTGTTATGACTGTTATTTTTGAAGATAATACATTTTCTGTCATGACAAAATCTTAAGACAATAATAATAGATATTTTATAAGAAAATAGATTCTTATCACATTCCAGATATAACTGTGATTCATTGCATGGTAATTGCAAAGTTCACATTAATCATATTTTATCATTTATACAGCATATGTCTTTATCATTTAGGCAGCATATGTTCTGATAGTACATTCTACTTGTCTTTATCATTTAGGCAGCATATCTATAAACATTTATAACAAACGGTACATAGTTCGTAAATGGCCACACCCTGGCTGCCATGTAAAAACTATGAATTTCTACAATAGCGTGATTTCACATATTTTAGATGCATTTTCTTGTTTTTTACTGATTTCATTCTTTTAAAGAAATGTCTTGCCGTACTGGATTGTAGTCAAAAGTTTAATTCGTACTTGACTCGAGCACGACTAGGCCAGGTTTGAAGTGCAGGCATTACAATTTATTCAAATGTAAATAAAAACAAGCATGAGTCTTAACTTGTACTGTGAATGAAAGAGAATATTTCTCAAATGAATAGTATATGCATGTATAAAAATAATCCTACTTACCACTAGAAATGTGGCACTGCAAAAACACATGAAAACTGTTATCAATTTATCCATTTGTTTCTCTAATTTGGTCTTATTAATCAATGATTTAAAACATAGCAAAAGTTTGCTATTCTTTTCACATCGCGACTATAGTGCTTTTTATAGGAATCAGAAAACACAAAATGCAGAAAGCCGACTAAATTATGATGATAAATATATTTTTATACCTAAAGTGTACAAAATCTGTCAGTTATTATCATGAGTTTTTAAAACAAAAAATACTTAAGAAAATGTCACGGCATATGTAAAAGTTAGAAGGCACATCAGTTTTTATCTGTACTTTACTAAAAAATAAAAAGGGAAGTTTGAGTCACAACCATTTAATTAAACTCCGATGTAAATATCATACGTTTGATGCTCATATCAAGGGTTTACAGCAAAACTGCAGTAACTCATATAAAATAAAGAGGGACTTACAATAACCTTGCGGTCAACCCTCAATATTATGTAGATAAATAGAAAAAATAAAGTTTTGACAGATATCCTTAACAAGCATACTAAATAAGTAAAGTCACGAAATAAAAAAAAATGTTTCAACGTTTACGTTTTTTACTTGATTGCCCTTTTACTTTATATATTTAAACAAAAATCTTTTCATTTTCTTTTTTTGTCACATTTGTTTTAAGTGTATTTATACCGGTTGTAATCTGATATACGAGGGTTGTTCAAAAAGTAATAGGACTGCAGCTCTACTGTTCACATTTTTTCATCTACGTACACGAGTTTACAAAAATCGAATATCGGAATTTGTCCTCTATATACAGTGAAAAAATCAATACAATATGTTTAAAAACAACAATTCTGTACAACTTACAAATGACAAGGGGTACGCGACCCGGCGCACGCTAATTGTTAAATAAATGACGTTCATGACGTCGCAAAATAAATTCAAAATGTAAACAGCGTCATTCTTTCTGAAATTATTCTCCACAATGTTCTAGGTGCTTGAATCATGTAACTATAACCAGAACTCATCTGTGGAGATGTAGCGAAAAAAAGCAATCACATTTTCATTTCTTTATTCGAAACATGCCCGGTGGCCGGCAACTTTCGGTTTGATCTCGTGATTTTGAGTATTCTGGAAGCTAAACGGGCATGGACATATAATGTAAATGACAAAGTGATTTATATTATTTATTTACACATGCCATCTTACATTCTTAAAACAATATGATTATGTACAGTAAATTAAAAATGCTTATTAATTGAAAAATATTCTCTTCTTCTGAGCACAGGCTATCATTTATTAAACGAAATCGAGAAAAATTGATACCAATAATTACCGCGTATCATTATCAAATTTTTTCAATGATAACACACACACACACACATATATATCTAAAAAATAAAATAGTGTTTAAAACAAATTTCCCCTATTCAATAATTTTCTTAGAACTGAAACAGTATACCCGATGCAAACATCAAACATGCCGGACAGTATCGCCGATACTTTTGTAGCGCTATTGCAATTAACGTCTCTAACGTCCGTCAATTTTCGCTTTCTCCCTAGCCCTTTCGTGTCTGTGATCTCATATTCACCGTCTTTGAACTGCTTTCTCCAGCTGAAAACGAGTGTCCTAATTGCCTAATTATTGTTCTGTGAAAATTTAATCTTTTCATACGTAGCTAAAGGAGTAGGGCCTATCTGTTGGAAAAATTTAATGATCGTACACATTTTAAGTTTTTCAACGAACGTCATTTTTCTACATTTAACGCGATTATCACTGCTGTTCAAAACGTTATAGTTTAGCGATTTCTTGACTGAATGACGTCAAATTTGGACAACATGACACTTTAATATGATGAAATGTGTTGGTGAAATATTAGGGGGAAAAGACAACATATTATGAATAAGCTGAAAGTACAAATTAGCGTCAAATTATTTTTGATGCGCTGCGCCGGTTGCGTGTTACCATGGTTATTTAATATCACAGGTGATAGCGCAATAATTCAATAAACTTATGCTGAAGTTGTAGAAAACAATTAACTATTGCCGTGGATATGAAAATATTTAAAATCTAATGGAATATGGAGACATAAGACTCTTAGTCCTATTACTTTTTGAACAACCCTCGTATATAGTGTTAAACTATCTGGTACTGATTGTCTGAATTGAAGATATTCCACTGATGATAAATCTGATAACAATCTTTATTTTCCAAATTGCTTTATACAAACTTATTGTTTAGATAAAACCCCATACTTTTTGCTTATTTTAAATCACATCGATGTTGAGACAATTAATAACAATACTGTCGTGTTAACAATAACCGTCGTTTTCGTTTTTATTTATTATTTTTTCTTATATACATTATCTTATATGACTGTTTGTTGTCATTGTATTTATAATTTATAATGATACCTAAAATAAAATTGTTAGCTACTGTTTAGTATGTCATCGACCTTCTGCAACATATGACGAGGGAATATAAAACAGCAAACAAAATACTAAGTGGTGTAAGACATATGAAATAAAGTTCTAATATAGTAAATTAACTGATTGTTGGGCAAATCTCGTCGTAGTCAAGACAAAACATACCAATCCACATATTGATTTATTTTAATATACACTTATACAATAGTTTCAAGACAGGTAAGCTGTCTAAGTAGATGTATGATTCCACATGATCAAGAACCTGGACGTTAAAGAACAAACTAGCTCTTTTCCGAAATGCACGCACTTTGAAATGTACGAGGGGTGTTCGGGAAGTTTAATATTGAAATGTACGAGGGGTGTTCGGGAAGTTTAATATTGACTTTTGCTGTATTTTTTTCCTAAATTGTGCGTTTTTATCCATATTTCACAAAATGTAATTTAAATATGTGCTCAATTTGTAGTATATCGCTCACTAACAACAATAGACAAATACCGCTCGAAACTTGTTTCTATAGTAACCGCATAACGCATACCCGGAGCACTCCGATTTTATCGTATTTAAGTTAATGGTACCGATATATTTAATTGATAATAATTTTCTTAAATTACAATGGATAATGTCACGAAGAAACACGAGCGTTAAATACAACGTCAACATCATTACCTGAAAACTCTACTCGTAAATCATTACAATTATTTGTATTACAACGGTTTTAACATCGCTGGTGCTTAAACAATTCAAGAGAAAAATGACGTCAATAGGCGACATTGAAGTCAGGGCAATCATCAAGTTTTGTGTTGGAATAGAAAAGACACCAACGGAGACGTATAAAAAGATTCAAGCATCTAGTACAGCAAAGAAAAGCTGTAGATCGCTAGTATTTAGATGACACGACATTTTCTGGAAGAGAGTCAATAGATGATTGATTTCCGAGATTTTCCGGAAATCAAAGCACAGCTGCGTGGTCGACGCTTTGATTCCGGGTTGGAATTACAAATTGAAACCCAGAGAATAGTTTCGTCATTCGAGAACATCTGGTACGAGGACACGTACGACAAATGAGTCAAGAGGCATATAAAATGTATCGCTGTGAATGGAGATTACGTCGAGAAGTGAGTCAATATGACGGTCGGGGAAATTTGACTTTAACATATTAAGCAATGACGTGACGTTAGCGTGCTCCGGGTATGCTTCGGTGTATGTTTTGTTTTATTTGTAATTTACTTATTGTTGAATGTATTTCATTGTAATTTTTACAGCTGGCTGTAAAAGAATTAAACATTTTTATGGTGTTTTTCATGTTTTTCAATTCCTATTATTTATCAAACTACAGCAAATGTCACCCCTCGTAAGAGCATGTATGTGTCACTTAAAATGACTAGAAACAAGTTAAACATGCCGACTACAAAAATGGATCAAAGACAGACATGACAGGGTTGCATTTGTATACCAAATATCTTGAGGCTGTGATCGTACGAAAATTGCTTCCATTGACCATGAATGTCGAAAATTTAGCTAAGTCGGTAAACGGGAAGTGAATGAGCGACATACCTGAAATTGAATCCCACGGTATGGGGTATTGGATCACGTGGTAATGTTGTAAATAAATATCAAGTTGCTGTGATTAGTAGTTGCTTAGAAAAAAGTTACTAAAACTGCCTACAATTCATCATTAATGTCGAAAATTTAACTAAGTCGTTATGAGCGACAAGTCTAAAATTGAAAGCCTCTGTATGGGACCACGAGTTAATGCTGTTTCCAAATATGAAGTAGTTGTTGGGGAAAACTATTACGAACATTTCCTACTATTGAACATTTATGTCAAAAATTTAACTAAGTCGGTAAACAGGAAGTAGATGAGCGACATAAATGCGCTCAATTGTAGTTCTATGTTTAATACGTCTGACATTATTGTTAATACTAGTATTACAAATTCTATGTCCAAAATGACCGTAAGACGTAATGTAATGCTCAACATTATGCTATAACAGATGACAAAACAAGTGAAATTATCATTACGTTGTTACTTTATCTTACCATGCTGTAAATTATCATTACGTTGTTTCTTTATTTTGCGATGCTGCCAATTATCATTACGTTGTACTTGTCGTGTACAGGCCTTGAATAGTTGCCTGATCATACAATCAGAGATGTTTATATTTCCTATTCTTGAAGGTAGCTCAACACGACATTATTGTTGTGTTTGTTGTAATCTTATTTTTATGTTGACCATTTTCAAGTTTGGTGGTTCCAGCAACTTGAATATTGTAAAGTCAATCTAAGGATTAATGCTTTCTATAATGACATCTTTTAGCGGCTTGTCTGTGGTATACATGCTTTAAAATTAGAAGATTGCTTTTATTTTAAACATCGTATATACTTTTTCTTAAAAATGATATACAATTTGATATTTATTAAAACAAGTCCTAAAAACAAACCTGTAATAGTAGGCAGTTTCTTTAGTTATAACTTAAATTGTGGCAAACTCCATAATCATTTCGGGAAACTGTGCTCGGTCATACAGTCAATAAGCTATTAGCATTATTAGACGGCGCGTACATGCGCCATCTTGTAGATATGCATTTGCCCATATAGCAATGGGGAAATTTTTTGACTTTGTTTTTGTCCATTTGTTTTGTTTTAACAGAATCACATTGTTTTCAAATTTTCTAATAAAAATAGCTTTTCTGATGAACAACATGTCACAGAGCTTTAAAGGATTAAAATAAACGTTTAAGTGATAGTGCCATGTTTGAATATCATATTCTTTTTATAATTATTTAATTTTATCGACCTTATAAATAACGTGCCAATGAGCCAGTCTAGTCTATAGTCGATCGTTCTAAAACTTAACCGTTGACAGAGGTAACCACTGAGGCACTGTCACTCACTACATTTGCTCCGCCTCTATTGGAGTTCGGATCCGACTTAAATTGTCGCCAAATTTAATATGATGCTCCTTAAGCTTGCATTTACTCTTCTTTGACGGTGGGGAGGGAACCAAGACAACTATGATCAATATAACTTTCGAATCATTACATGACAAGTAACAACACCTAAACCACGCTTACTATCAGAGAGGCGGTTCTTCCTCAACCCTTAGCTCAACACAGACATGTCTATAGTCTAATGACGGGAACCAAATTCGGGCAGGGAACAAGAGGTATCATCAAAATACGCAACGGAGATTTTTTGGCGCTACAGACGCAACGAAAATATTTTTTGCAAAATAGGCAAAACATGTGCGACATGTAATTCATGAAAATAATTT